CCCATCGCTCGCCCCAAATTCTGCCCCTACGAAACATTCCTCTACACGCTTGATCCATTATAATACGGGCACATCATCCATTTTGTTCTCTGACTTCATCGTAACAACCATGTGCCAGACCCTCTCCCTGCGACGTACCCTCGCCCTAGCCCTACCCCTCCCATCAATACCCCCTCCCCCCTCCCCAGTCCCCTCCTCCTCCTGCCCCCCCACCGACCCCTCCGACGAATCCCCCCCCGACTCCGACTCCGACTCGGACTCCTCGCGGTCAAAGAACTGGCGGTTGCCCTCGTAGCGGCGGTAGACGGCGACCAGCAGCACGGCGGCGCCGTAGCAGGCCAGCAGGGCGCCGATCGGGTAGAAGTCGGACGTGAAGATCTTGAGCACCACCAGCGCGAACGAGAACTGCGACAGCGCCGTCCGCATGTAGGCGCCCTCGAAGGTGCGCTGGGCGGCGCGGATCTCGACGAGTCTGTTGTTGGTTTTGGTGAGTAGGATTATTTTACTTTTTTTTTTTTTTTTTTTGTCTCGGGGAGGGGGTTGGTTTAAAGTGGTTTGGTAATGGGAGAGTTGAGAGATAGGATGAGGTCTAGGTGGGGTGAGATTTATGTGTTGAAATAAGATGACAAGATCATGATGATGGTATGTGAGATGCGATGAGATGAGATGTATGTGTAAGGGCAAGATGATGAAGGCCTGGTTGCCTCTACCACAACCTATGGCAATGTGCACTCACTCCTGTGTTGTTAACACGACGGACCTCGCGCGATGCAGGCGCAGGTGCAGGTGGTCTTCAGGATGCGGCTGGAGAGCCTGGTGGTAGCAAAGGGCGCGTTAGTGATGATTTGACCAAAATCCGCTGCTGGCTACGGTTATACATACCTCAAGCATCGACGCCATGATGGCCGGTTGATAGGTTGACGATGGACAACCTGAATCTGAGATGAGAAGTTGAAGGCGGCGTGAGAGCGAGTGATTTGATGACCGAGCTCAACAACCCTAACCCTTCCAACCAGTACAGTAATCTATGTAATTTATGTTACCACCACTTCCCAACACGCGGATATATCTCTATCACATGTGAAGATAGATCACTCACACGATGTAAGGGATTGACTGTAAATTCTATCGGATAAGGGCAAATTTCTGCGTGCGGCAGAGTCGGCCGACGCTAAAAGTGAAGTGGAACTAACATCACAGTGGCATCACTCCTCCGCGACGCTACCTACTGGCCAAGGCCAAAAGACCAACGTTACAAGAACTTATGCTTCTGTATGGGGGCCTCTAGGCCCGGGGCTAGTGAGCTCAGTTTCGCACCCATAAGACACGGGGGTGGGTGAGCACGCCACATGCTGCCAACTATCAACTACCCACGACTGCTGCCGAGTAATTAGGTATATTTCTGGGCGTCACTATGGCATACGAGCTGGTTCTTTTGCTTGTGAACTGCTTATTCGATGGGAACAACCCGAGACACGCCTACGAAAGCCATGGGTATAAAATTGACCAATGACGACTACGGTAGTTTGGGGATTGTGTGGAAATTTCAGATGTTGGCACGGTGGTAAGTTCAAGAATTAGATCATCCACTGGCTGACAGCCAGCCTGGGAGGGTGCGGTGGAACAAACTCGACGGATATATGGAAGAACTCAGCATCGAGAAGCAGGGGGGTTGATAAGAGTGATATCTTTGGTATGTTCACCCCTCCTAGTTTGAATGACAAGGCCAACTTTAGGTAGGTAGCTGACATATCCAGACATAAATCTTATACTACCTTATTAGCCCCTGAGATATGTAGTGAACTGCAAGGCTTAGCCAATGTCACCTTTCAATGGGAAGGATGCACCAATGAGTATTGGAGGAGACCGGAAGAGATAATACCCAGAGGGAATCTGGCTGGCCCTGGCGTTGGTTTGCGTTCTCGTCACAACGGTGATTCCCGCGTTTTGAGACGGGTTTTACGGATGTTTGACCCAAATCCCTCTCCCCACTCGTTGTTGCCATTCCAAAATAAACTGGGATTTTAAGGTTAACAACGCCCGAGGGATGCGGCGGCGCGGCAGAGTTAGCGGCGACGAGCCAAGCCCACGGCCCAATTATACCAGGGCTGCTATCTCGATCACCGCTGCCGGGCTGCCGGGCACGAAGGTTGGATCGGAAAACGGGGAGCGAATGGAGTTTCGAGGATTAATTATACTTTAACGATGTAACGGGCGGCAGTTTCCCGCTAGCTGACGTCGACTAGAAGGACTAGAAGGATGCGTCGGCTCGCTTTGAGTTTCACACATAAAGGTCTTACCCGGGGACTCGAAGGCCGGCCGTAAAAGGAGACCGGACACGCCTCCCGGGAACGTGGTTCGTCGGCCGTTGTGCGGTCTACTACGATAGAGGTCGTCGATACTAGTATCGCACAGGTAGCGCCTCTCTCAGTCTTTCTCTAAATATAATTACTGTCTCAAAACTGTGGAGTTCGTCTGCGCCGCTTTGATGTCTGTAGGAACCTCTGCAGTCGGTTTCTGTTCTGGTCACCTGGCGTCTCGACCGACACATCGAGACATGCGGACGGGCATTTGGCGGGAACTTGAAGTATAAGTTCTCGCCAACCGCTCTCTGCCCCGGGAAAGTGTAAGCAGCCAAGATCACTCGAGTAGTTGTCGAAGACTTCATCTCGTAACCATCCCGGCATCTCGGTTTGCTCTACTCCCAAAACCCACCCATATCCATTCTACCCAACTCGACAATACCCGTGTCAAACCAACTGGCACTGTGCAGCTCCTTCTCCCCCCATATCAGCACACGCGAACAAAGCAATCAAAATGGCAACCCGCCCCGACCCCAGCAAGCAAAGCATCCCTCTCCGTTCCGGTCCCCCGCAGGCCCAGCGCCCCAACCCGCCCACAACGAACACCCAAAACGTCAACCAAGACAAACCCGTAGGAGCCACCCCAGCAAAGCCAGCTCGCAAGTACGAGTGGCCCAGCGACACCCCACCCGACATACGCAGCGCCACGCACGGCGCCATCGAGCTCGCCATCCGTCTCCTCAAAACCGTCCCCAGCCGCAAGCACCTCGTCGGCCTCGGCCTCGACATTATCACCAGCTTCAGCGGCCAGCACCTTTGCCCGCCAGACATGGACCAGCGCAAGATGTACAGCCTCGTGGTCTTCTTCCTGAACAGCATAGACTGCGAGTTCCCCAAGCTCGAGTACTCGCGCATCCAGGGAGCGGCGGCGCTTTTCCAACCCACCGCCGACTGGTGCGTCCAGAGGTCGGGCGTCCCCAAGGGCCTCCGCGACTGGAAGCCCCTCGCCAGCGGCGGCACGCTCACCCTCGGCGACTCCGTCTTTGGCCCGCTGGCCGCCTCGCGCGAGGAGCGCGCGAAACGACCACAGCCACGGCCACACCAAGAGGGAGGCGTCACGAGCGCGCTGCGCGCGCGCCACGACGAGGCCTACACGCGCCTGCAGTTTGCCGCGGGGACCTGCATCGCCGCGCACCTGGTCACCTGCTTCGTGGGCCTGCTGACGGGCGCGAATCCGCGCTATGTGCGGGAGAGTCGTCCGTTGGGCCACAGCAGCTGGGCGTTCAAGTGGGAGAGGGCCGTGCTGGGCGGGGAGGTGACGACGCGTATGGAGAGGAGGCATCCGCTGGGCGCGGGCCAGGGCGGGACGGTGTGGTTGGTGGATGAGAGGCGGTGGGCGACTAGGGTGGATGAGGAGTGTGTCAGGGCTGTGGTGGGTTATGGTGAGTTTTCTTTTTTTTTTTTTCTTGATTTCGTTTTTTTTTTTTTTGGAGTGGGCTCTTTGTGCTTGGATTTGTGTTTGTGGGCGGGTTGGTTATAGGGGTTTGGATCATTGCTGATGTGACGGTGGACAGATTTTGTGCTGCCTCTGGTGACCACCAAGGAGGAGTCTCATATCGAGGAGTTGCCCCAGACGATGGAAGGCGTCCGGGCTGCGCACATGGCGCAGCTGGTTCACGGTGCCGCTAGGGTAAAGAGGCCTGAGGCCAAGCGTGTCCCATCGGGCAATGATCCATCGAGCAGTGGTCCCAATGGTCCATCCAGCAATGGCCCATCGAACAGTGCTTCAAGCACGACCTCGTCCAACCCCCCTCCTCCAAGGAGCCGTCCAACGCAAACTCTCCAAGGTACCGATTGATAGGTCCCGCCGCCTGCCCCCAACTAGCCCTTGAGACCCTAGCACCGAAACAGTAGAGGGCGGAGGACGACAAGCGACTTGCTAACAACAACAGCTGGAATCAGCTTCGTGGTGATGTGTAATGCGGGTTGAAACGGAGGTAGACCCTACTAAGTATGTTCGTGTCCCTTTAGAAATTCAAGCAGTTAGAAAAATCAATCTTTGCTATTGCATCTTGGCGAACAGGCACAGAGCCAACTGGATTCTTGTTTCTTCTCCCCACGACCTCCAAGTAATCTTTGGCTGAGCATTGTGGCAAAGTCGGTGAGTGGGATGTTGAAACCAGCGGCACAGGCTGGAGTCATCAAACAACAACAACCCCTGTCCTCACCCTCCACGCAAATCGCCCAATGACTTCACGGCTCACGGCCATAAAAATTCCCTACCCAGGTACTACGGCTATCCCAAGGGATCCGTGCCAGAGGTGTTTTTCATAGACTGCTCCGGGCATCACGCACGCAGCAAACACGTCGAATTCCGCTCTCCCGGGAAAGAAGGACGCCGAGTCGGCCACTCAGCATCGAATTTGTGAGAGACAGAAGGATTCTAAGGATTGGCCTGGTCCAGTCCTGTTTCACTTACAGGAGTACTAATCCTGTTCCCCATGCGTGCCAAACTTGCAGACCATGGACTGCCACCCGTCGCCGGATGTTGCTGGATTGGGATGCTTTGCTGCTCCTTTCGGAATATGGTCGTCTTGTAGTTCAGATGCCCAGGATGGGAAGCTGGTCTTGCGCTCGGAATCACCAAGCTCGGCATGGCGGTGTTGAGCTTGGAATCCTGGGGCCGGCCCCGGCCAAGCAGCAACCCACCGTTATTCTGGTCCTACTTGCTTCTCTCCCAGTTGGAAAGCTCAGGCAACTAGTTGACGGCGAGGTCCGTCTCGAGTCCCGTAAGCGTCATCTCGACTATTCGTTCAGCTGATGTGTGCTTGAGCCTCGCCCTCTCTCTCGATGGGGCCAGCAGCTTTGGATGATAGCCCTGCATAAATATCTCCTTGAGCCCACGCCGAGGATGATGTTAGCAAACCATAGAAACACTACTCAACCAACCCTCTTACCGCCGATCTGAACTGTGCTGGCACAAGTTTTGCTTTTCTCATTCTTTCCGCTTCCCAGCCCACCAAACCGGCCTACCTAATCCACATAATATCCCACTAACAAGATGTCCCAAAGACCCGGCGCCGGCCCCCAGGGCACCCGCCCTGCCAACTCGGGTCCTCAGGCTGCTCAGAGCAACCCGGCACCGCGACGGCGCGGCCCAGCACCGCCGCAGTTTGTGCTCCAAATGGAGCCGGACGGACCATCGGCCAGCCCCAAGAACGCCCGAGACGTCAACCCCGATGATCCCCTGCACGAAGCCGTGACATCCAGCATCATGGTCGCGCTGGCGCTGATGCGGTCCGACAAGGGCAAATATAGGCTCCCTACCACGGGTGAGGACGTCTTCAAGTACGTGCGGGAACCCGATCGGCTCGTCTGCACTAGGTCCTCTGGGCTGCAGGAATGGGCCGACGAGTTCATTGCCCAGATGAGCAAGAACTTTATGCGCATCATCCTCACGAACCGCACCAACCCGAGGGCCAACGGGAGCGACATGTGGTTCGAGCGCAGCGATTGGAAGTCGTGGACACCCGACTCGTCTGGTACCATGTTCCTGAACAAGTTTGTACGTTGTTCTTGCAGAAGCTTCCCCAGGTTGTCGAGAAAAGCCTGTCCGGTTGTATACCAACTAATCCATTTCAAAACAAGGCGATCGAATCCATGGCCAGGGCCAAGCAAGGGACTAGCACCCACCACATCAAGACCTACGACACTTTCGCGTTTGTCCACGGGCTCGAAATCGCGCGCGGGATGGTACTCTGCTTTGCTGGCAGCTTGATGCCGTTCAGCAGGGATATTCCCACAAGCCGTGGCCGTGAGCTGGACGAGGCGTGGGAAGACCGGATGTTTTTTGGGGAGATCCATAACGTCAGGGACACCAAGGATGAGTTTGAAATATACCAGGCCGGATCAGTTTGGTTTGTGAATGGGATGGCGCAGCAGATCATGTTGCCACCCGCTCTGGGGACGCATTGTCCTGAAAGTGAGTTTCCCAGATCCCAGATCCCGTAGAATAACTAATATGGCTAGGCTGCTGACACGACAGGACAGAGTTCAAGCTGCCGCTCGTCACGCGGGGCGAGTCTATACCCCTGAACAATTTCTGGTCGACTCAGGACGCCATGTCTGACATGCGCGCCTGGCTCCGAGACTGGATCAGGAAGGGAAACAATGTGAAGCTTTTCGAGTTCCGTCAGCAACAAGCCCCTGGTCCCGCCCGCACTACTGCCGCCACGTCAGCCAGCACCACCCCGTCGAAGCCAGCCGTCCAAAAGGCACAGGCCACCACCACGACCAAGACGACGGCCACGACGAAGGCCACGGCAAGGACCACGGCTACCGCTACTGCTACCGCTGCCGCCACCACCAACACCAATTCCAATGCTACCGCACAGCGTCGGAATGCTGCCAACACGACTGGTAACGGCACGGGCAACGGTGCGGGTAGGGGTGCGGGTAGGGGGAATGGAAATGGCAATGGCACTGGAAATGGCACTAGATAGTCTGAAAGAGACAAGGTAGGAGCAGATACGGTATCTTGACAAGAAATAAATACCGTGACTTGTTGGTTTTTGTTGTTGCTTCGATGTTGGTGTGGGTTTGGTGTTCGATCAGTTCTAGAACCTCCCTTCGGTCAAAAAAAGTCGAACTCCTAAGGGAACAGAAAGAGAAAGAAGTAAAAAAGGAAAATAAGAAAAATAAGAAGTAAGAAACCCAAGAAAAATAAATTAAATAAAAGAAACCGAGTCAAATAAAAGTACGGAATAGACTTTGGGCCTCTGAATGGCTTTCTTTTCGTCCAAGGTTTCGGCGGTACCTCCGTTTGGAGTTCGGTCTTTTTGGCCAGAGGGTGAGCAGTTGCAGTTGGACCCACACCATGAGATCCCCATCATCTTATCCCTGTCGAATGGCTCGTGCACCTCCAAAAGCGACAGGGATCGCCTGCAGCCTTCCAATGTCAATTGAAGCTTCGTGGCCGCTTTCATTGCACTCGGGAGCTGCCATTGCCAAATACACCACACCTCGACGACCACCACCACAACACAACCTCACACCCAACCGAACCATCCACCACCCAATTGCCGTCCCTCCAACAACCACACCAACAACTCACCACCAAACCTCACCAACCACCCCAAAATGGCACCCAAACAACGAAACGCCGCGGCCGCGTCCCCAGCAGCCGCACCCGCACGCACACCAGCAACCACCACCACCCCTATCACCAACACAACAACAACAACCACCACCACCCCCACAACCCCCGCCTCCCTCAAAGCCAACGCCGCCGGCGTCGTAGGAAACGGCGGCGCACAGACCTGGGACCGGATCGCGCAGAACCTGGTGGCGCACTACACGGCGTCGACGCCGCAGCGCACGAAGCTGCTGGACGCTTTTTTGGCGTTCTTGGTGACGGTCGGCGGGCTGCAGTTTGCGTATTGCGTTTTGGCGGGGAACTATGTACGTTTTGCTCATGTCATTGTGTCTATGTTCCTCCTGGGTGGGTGAAAGGAAATGGGGAAAGCTGACTGACTGGGTGGGTGGTAGCCGTTTAATGCGTTCTTGTCAGGGTTTTCGGCGACGGTGGGGCAGTTTGTTTTGACGGGTAAGTGCTCGAGTTCTTGGGGTGGGTGAGGTTGGGTGGGAGTGGTTGCTGATGATGGTGTCGGGGGATAGCTTCGTTGAGGATCCAGACGACTGAGGCGAACAAGGGGGATTTCCCTGCCGTGTCGCCCGAGCGGTACGTTACCTTGAGAAGATAGGGTTGAGAGAGAGGTTACTGACTTGCCGACAGCGCCTTTGCCGACTACGTCGTGTGCAGTCTCATCCTGCACTTTTTCTGTGTCAACTTCATCAACTAGGGTGGCCAATTCGGGGAGGGCAGGTCGAGGACGGGATACGTGGCTTGTTGTTTGCTTGCGTTCTGTGGTATATTTTGGAACTGTATAAAGATACGGCTGGAGTTCTGGTGGGCGCCACCTCTAAAAGCGGCTTCGCTAGAGAAAAGGGATCAAATTCGAATTTCTAGTTCTGCAACCGTCACTCGCCCCCTTCTTCCTTCGGCGGCACACTCCCAACCCGGGGCGGGCCACCCTTCGGCGGCCCTCCTTTAGGCGGCGGTGGCAGCGGCGAGTTCCGCCCGCTCGGCACATTGTCCAGCTCCCTGCTCTTTTTCTCTTGCTCTTTGAAGTAATCGTCCATAAGGTTCGGCCCTGTGTGATGCGACCGCTCCTTCTTCTTCCCCCTTGGTGGGCCACCGGCCGGTGGAGCTTGCGCGCCCATCATCTGCGCAGGTACCAAGAAATCAGCCGATGCGGATGGCGGCGGCGGCGTGGCAGTTGTTCCCCGAGCGAACCCCGTGGGCGTCCCCACTCTCCCCGCCGGCGCAAACCCGGCCTGGCCCGCGACACCCGCGGAATCCCCATCAAACAGGGTCTCTCCCGGCGCGTGCACCGGCTCGCTCAGCGGCGCCGGCAGCCTGTGCAGCGCGCCGTAGCCCAGCACACAGCCCAGGGCGCCCTCGCCGCCCCAGTCACGGCTCGGCTGGATCGTCACCTCGCGCGTGACGTTGTACTCGTTGTTGTAGACGTACAGCCGCAGCGGCCGCCCGATGTGGTCCTCCACCAGCTCGCTCAGCCCGCCCTCGCCGTGGAGTACTCCTTCGGGCGTGCCTAGGATATAGTCGCTGTAGGGTAGCAGCCCGGCCGCGTCGGCGGGCGAGTTGGCCGGAACGTCGAGTACGTGCCAGATATTGGATACCACTGCTACCGGCGTCCATTGCAGCGCCAGCCCGAGCGAAGCCGTGTTGGCGGGGACGGGAACGTGCAGCGCGCGTGTGCGTTGGCCCTGTATGGGTGATCTGTTAGGCTGCAAACTGTGTAATTCATATGGGGGAGAGAGAGGTGCATCCCGTACCTTTGCGCTCCAGAGGCCGAGCATGACGGAGCTGCCCGCGCAGTTGCGCACTTCCTGGGCGAACAGGCCGGGGTCCGAGTCGTCCTAGGGGGGTGGGTGTCAGTCCCCTGTGGTCGCCGCACAGCAAACACTAAACCTGGCATCATATGGTATTCATACAATCATACGCCCGTTGATGCCAACCACAAAGTCGAACCAAGGCTCAATGGCCAGCTCTAGGTTGGTGTTGCGCAGAACCTGAAACCCGAACGCCCCGTGGTTCTCCTTGGTCGCCGGCATGGGCTCGCCATCGAGGCGCGATATGAAGCGGTTGAGCGCGTTGAACATTGTTCTGGCTCTCGGTATTTCGTGGTACGTGTGATGCGGTGTTGCTGTGATGTTCTTGTCGGCGCAACGTGTTGGAATGTCGAATGTGCAACCCAAAGCAGCATAATCGATCTGGCGTCACCAACAATGTGGGGTACCGAACGGCGCCTTCAGTGGGGAGCTCCTCTGTGGGGGCTGAGTGGCCCCTGGAACGGCCTGGAGCTCGAGACAGGTTTCTTGGCAGGCACATGCATGCATGCTCCCAGCCTTATTTCAACTTTTCCATCTAGGATATCGAAATCCATAACAACTCCGTCATCTTCATTTTATTTAAGATACAAGAACGATATAAGAAGATTCGGGACGATATATCCAACCCCATATTATCTTAACTACGACCTACAGTTCCCCCTCATCGTAATGACTCTCCGACCTGTTGAAGGCGCCTTGCCTCTCACCGAGAAATGCCACCACTACGATCACATTAGTGAAGTGCCGTGGGAGCTTCAGAAGTGAGACCACCTGAACTTAGTTGAATCCGCCAATCCCACCTATGCTCATATCCTTACACTGACGCTCTCAGATACTGGCACCAACGCTACTCCATCTTCCACTTCTACGACTACGACATCCGCCTCACGGACGACGCCTGGTTCGGCGTGACCCCCGAGCCCGTAGCCATGTAAGGCCCCCCTCCCCTCACACTCTCCACACAAACCATGCTAACGTACCCCCAGCAAGGTCGCCAAGGACATGCCCTCCCACAACCACTCCACCCCCCGCAAAAGCACCATTATCGACATATTCGCCGGCGCCGGCGGCAACACCATCGCCTTCGCCCTCTCCGAGAAATGGGACCGCGTGATCGGCATCGAAAAGGACGCCGCGACGCTAGCCTGCGCCCAGCACAACGCGGCCGTCTACGGCGTGGCCGACGCCATCACCTGGGTCCACGGCGACTGCCTGGACTTTTTGGCGCGTCTCAAGGACCACGCCAACGGCACGAGCAAGGGTAAGGGGAAGGGCAAAAAGAAGGAGCTGGACCCGTTTTTGCAGCTCGATGTCTCGAGCACCGTGATCTTCGCCTCACCGCCCTGGGGCGGCGTCAGCTACCGCGATCAGGATGTGTTTGACCTCAGCACCATGGAGCCGTACAACCTCGAGACGCTGCACGAGGCTTGCCGGCCGATGGAGCACGCGCTGTTCCTGCCGCGGACGAGCGACCTGCGGCAGATAGCCAAGCTCGTGCCGGAGGGCGCGGGCAAGGTCGAGGTGGTGCAGTACTGCATGGAGGGCGCGAGCAAGGCCATGGTGGCGTACATGCCCGCGGAATGAAGCGACGAATCAACCGCGGCGGGGGGGACCCCAACCGACTTTTTTGTCTATCTCTCGTGACATTAACCTCCCCATCACCCCCATCTAGAAATACCGCGCTACGCCACGCCACACTACGACTACAGCCCCTTCACAATGCTCCGCTCGTCAAACACGTCCTTCACCAACCCCGCCACGCACCCCTCCCAGTCCACCGACGCCATCGCATACGTCGACTCAAACGCATAGATGCTCAGCTGCCCGAAGAAGGGCCTGAGCACCTTCGCCACCAGCTCATCCTTCCTCTCCAACCCAACCTCATCACTAATCCCCCCCGGCGTGCCCAACAGCGGCCGTCTCAACCCAGACGTAGCCAACCCACCCGACGACGACGACGTTGCAGCCCCCGTCGTCTGCACCGCCGTCTCGCCCAAATTCACCGCCCCGGCCCCCACCGCACCCAGCTCCTCACACACCTCATCCACCAACGCCACGGGCTGATACCCACCGCCGCCGCTGTTAAACTGCGGACGGTAGACAGCATCCACCGTATCCGTAACAAACAGCCACTCATGCAGCTGAAACTCATCCGGTGCCACACAGACCAACAAATCCAGCAACTTGCACGCCTGCATCACCGAGGCATTGCCGTACGTATCCGACGCGGGGCTATGATCCGGCGCGACCACCGACGCCACCGCCGCGTGCAGCTCAGCGTTGACGGTAGGCCACAGCGGCGCGAGGTGCACGGCGTCGGTGCGCAGGACCAGCGCGCGCAGCAGCATGTAGGCCTCGGCGCGCGTGGTCGACGACGGCGACGACGTCGCCGTCGCCCCGAGCAGCTCCGTCAGCTTCTCCGCGATGGCGGGGAGGTCCGCCACGAACGCGTCCGGCCCGCACGCGAGCACCAGGGCCGCCGCGCGGCGGAGGGTGAGCTGGGTCTTGCGGTCGGCCTCGAGGCGCGCCGAGGTGGCGCCGACGCCGAAGACGATGCCCGCGGTGGTAGGCGGGGTGAGCCGCGAGAGGAGGTCGGGCATGCGCTCCTTGTCGGCGACCGTCCATTGCTTGAGGAGGGGCAGCCAGCCCGTGTGCACGAGGGCGAGGTTGGAGGCGAAGAAGCGCGGGTCGTTGAAGGCGTCCGAGATGTCTTTTTTCCAGGATTTTTGGTTGTTCGGGAGGCGGGAGAGTTCTTGCAGGAGGGTGAGCATGGTCTTGGAGACGGTCTCGGGGAAGGATTTGGCGCGGAGGGCCGGGCCGATGACGTTGGTGGAGATGGCCGTTGCCGCGGTGAGGATGCGGTCGTTCTCGACTAGGATCTTGGGCAGGTTTGGCACGATGGTGGCAAGGATGCCGACGACGTCGTCGGCTCGTTCTGCTGGGAGTCTTACGGCCGGCTGCCGAGGAGTTGCACTTGACGGTTTCTCCGAGACGCCCGAGGAGCTCGAGATGTCGAAGCTAGTTGGACGAGTGGTGAAGATAGCTGTAAGCAGCCGCACGAACAAATCCTAGACCGAGTTAGCACGCTGAACAACCAACTGCCAAATTCCTTTTGAGACCTACCGCCAAGTCCCGGCGCATCTTCCGCTGCTCGCCAAAATTAGTATTGTCCACCTTCTCTCCTAGAATAGCCGCAAACTCAAGTAGGCTCGGCAACGTCTGTCGATGTGGGAACGGGTTGCCCAGGATATCCCTGAGAAACGCAGTGCAGTCTTGCCAGATCTCGTCCATGGTATCATCTTCTAGCGACCGGGTGTAGTCCACTAGGAAGATGACGAGGTCCGTGTCCTGCAATGAGATCGTGAGGGTCGACCTTCTCGACGGGTCCAGCACGCTCGGGTTGGTCCGACTGTAGATGGCGTTGAACAGGGCGGGCATGGTATGTTTCGGCCGCGACCCGTCCAATGCAGGAAGCAAGTTGAACACCTCGGCAGCCTTGGACACGTCGGCGCTGTCCAGCGCACCTCGCCATATCCCGATTACTGTCTCCAAGCACTCCAATGTCTCTGCGGCAAAGAGGTGCTCAAGCAATCTCCTCGCCCGGTTCCGCATGCGCAGCGACGTGTAGTTCAGAGATGCCCCCGACGTGGCGTCCTGTCCTGCCGCGTCTCTCCCCTGTCCCCACGACCAGATGGTGAAGCACATGCGGACAGCGTCCTGGAACGCGAGCAGGACAGTAAGCCTGTCGTTGGCGGTGGCGCTCCGCGTCTGCGGGGCGTCAGACGAAAACACGCCCGACACCATGTTTCCGAAAAAGCCTTGAGGCTGGTCTGGACTCTTGACAACCTGGACTCTGGCCTCTTCAGCCAGTAGCCTATCGTGCCCTCTGGCCAGAACCTGCTCGAGGCCGTTCAGAAGAGAGATCAACGTAGTTTCGGGCCCGGCGGCGCCGTGTGACAGGGTCTGATCCGCAGCCCGGAATAACCGCTGGAGGCTATTGAAGGTGTCCCCAATCTGGCGGCAGAGCGTCTCCACAAGGGGGATCAGGACCTGGAAGACAGAGTCTGTGTAAAGTGGCAAGCACTCCGTGAGGAAACCAACCCAGCTATCTAAGACAGGCCTACTGCTTGGCGAGCTGAGCCCGGCGAGAATGCATTTGAGTAAGGCCGGAGGCGGAGGTTGCATGACCATGGGCTTCTCGACTAGAGATGCTCTGGAGCTTCTTGCCGCTTCTAGCTGCCCTAGCCGCTTTTCGTGGTTGATAGGCGAAGTAGGTGGCTCTGCGGGGACCAATTCTCGGAGCTTGAGTGCGGCGTAAACAACATCCAGAAGCAAAACTTGTACGTAGGGATCAGGACCGTTAAGAGACTGCTGGAGCTTTCCGACCAGAATGTTCTCGAGGTGGAGTTTTGCGAACTGTTCAGCGAATGGATTAAGAAGGGTCTGGTGAAGGACAGTAAGGGCGGCGCGATGGAGCTGCGTCGCCCTCGCCTCCGATCCTTCTTCGCCAGGAACTTTATCATGAGCCATACATTGCAGGCAGACGCGGAGGAAGAATTCCTGTAGCGAAACGTCGCCGTCCGTTCCAGCTTAGTTTGTTAGATTTTGCGATCGGGAAGCAGGTGCTGGGGAAGGCTTACTGATTCCTGAGAGTGGTGGATGGTAAGCGTCCGACCGGACAAACCGCTTTGCAAGAACTGCCCAGGCCGCTTCGGGCGCCCAGCGCAAAACGCTGGATAAGGAGCGGACATAGTACAAGGCTAAACTAAGGTCGTCATCTTCCGTGAACTGGGCCGGGGTCGGCTTGGACTCTTGTCGCCCAAGGAAAGGCAACTCGGCGAATTTTGTGACAAAGATTGCAAAGAGCCTACCACCACTGTCAGCATATTATAAGACAGAGGTCACGCTCTACTCACTTGTCCATCCCGATGAGGCTATTGAGCCAAGATTTGACGGTCATGAAGAGTTGTGTTCGCTCGTCGGTGAGAGCGTCAAGCATCAGAAATAGAGGCCGAGTCAGCATGACTTCGTAGTTGTCCATTCCCGCGAGACGACTTGGTGCCTTGACGTCACCATTCGTGGTTTTAGTACCTCTTCGTTCCAACCCGGAGGGATTGTCCTGCAAAGTATGTGTCCAAAGGATACAGAAGCTCCTACCAGGATCGGCGGAGCGTTGAGCAAACGTGCCCGTAGTATCGTTCCGAAGCATCAAGGTACAAATGGCGGCCTCGATGTCCCGATTGGAAGACGTGAGCGCGGTCTGGAGCAGCCAAAGACTGCGGGTCGTCTCGACATGATACTTTGGCTCGGCTGCTGAGAGATATCCCCATGCGTGGCGCACAAGTGGCACGACCAGATTCGAGAGCTCCATTGCTGTTATTCTGCTTGCCGAGCACATGTGTGATGAGAGTGAGAGAATGGAAGAATATACGGCAAATGGTATCGGCTCGTCGGCTACGAGGCAGTCGTGAAGCGCGGTGAGAAGCGTCTTGGAGTCGAAGGACAGTGTTTGGGGGAGCTTCGGCAGGAGCAGGATAAGGATTCTGGTCTTTACAGCCATCTCGACCCCGGATTCCCGTCGACCCAGGGACGAGCAGACCAGATCGCATGCTTTTTGTAAGAGAAGCTGGACAAGATCTTGTGGGGCAAAAGGAGGTGAGGTCGCTTCTAGACTGCCTTGGTCGGCAACATAAAACGTCCGGATCTTCTTGAGCACCTCTGCGCTAGGTGAGGCGGCCAGGATCGTCGAATCAGCTGGAAAGGTAGATTTGGTCGTTGTTTCTGTCGGGAATGCTCGTTCCGGGATTAAATCTAGTAAGCTACCGGCGATGTTCAGGGCTACCTCGGACAAGGAGGCATCCAAAGGAGTTGAGGTATCCCCAGGCTTGCCACGGCCCTGAGCTTCTTCCATCATGCACAGAATGGAGAGTGCGGTAAGAGGTGCGTGGATGGTGATCATTTCCTCTTCCCTGACATTGAAATTTGCCAGTACAAACTGGATCAAGTCGAGCTTTCCTTTACGTTCGGTGGCGGAGATGTCACCAGGGCCGACTGCCTGTACCATTAAAGCCAGTATTTCGCCGTAGATCAACCCACTCTCGACACCGTCGAAAAATACGCTGGCACTACGCAAGACCTCAGAGAAGTCTGCCTTGCTTGCTGCTTTCTCCTTGTACTTTCTCACGCTATCCACGATAGGGAGGAACAGTTCGGGCACAACCAGCCCTCCAATCTCCCACCTATCCATCAGGGACAGGCAGACACGGTATGGCTTTGCCCTTTCGGAAGGATTACCGCCAGTGTCTGAATTGACTAGGGCAAGTAGGGCCCGCGTCAATGGCTGCAGCCCAAATTCCTCAAAGTAGTTCGTTCTTGAGGAAAAGAAACCGTGGCCGTGGGTGGAAGTGGAGGTAGGGGAGTCAAGCCCGCCGTCGTGTTCAGCAGAGGCCGGCGGCTCAGGGCCGAGTAGCCATGACCATAGTCGCCTGTTCAAGCTCATATCTCGGCGCACTGTCACTCCCGCGGCGGCCCGTAGGAGTAGCTCTAGGTCGCCACCTTTGGCTTTCGTTTGGAGGACTTCGGAGTGCAGCGGGAGATGCGTGACGAGCAGGTCTAGATAGCCTCTCTGAATGAGAAGTTGATCATCGGCGAGACCGGCAGCAAAGCAGCGAATTAGCAGTCCAGGTTCCGGGGATGTAACGAGTTGTGAAAGCTTGGCAGATGTTTCTATCTCAGAGGCTGCCTTGGCCGAGTCTGGCTGCAGCGCATGTCCTAGACGCGGGAGCGAGCGCAGGAGGTAGGCCAGTGCACCTGTTCTCCGGGTATGGCCGGTAATCGAGGCCAGGAAAAAGCATTGCCAGAAGAAATCATCTCCTGAGGAGTGGGCTTCTGTGATTTTCTGGCTCGTAGGAGGACGAATCGCGGCCTTGAACCGCTCAACGAGCCTCAGAGTGCGATCGAAGTCTTCACTTGTCTCCTCCTCGAGCCCAGGTAGGAGCGCGAGGACGACAGATTTCATGGCTGGCCGTAACGAGCGAGGATCGAGGTCCAGGAAGTACCGTTCGAGGAGGTCGAGAAAGGGGGCGCGGACGGTGAGCGAGGCGAAGGACAAGACTGAGGCAAGGCCCGGGAAGTACAAGGGCAGGTCTCTGGACAAGCCATCTTTGCCAATAACGGAGAAGATATAACCATAAACCTCAAGGGTCTTTTGGTGAACGCCGGATGGGAGCGAGGGGTTCAAACATTGCGATAATCGCTTTGCGACGGTGGTCTTGGAGGGGATGGTAGTGACGGACGACGGTCGAGCTTGTAGTGCCTATTCTCGAGGACGTGTGATCAGTCGGAGTCGTAGTGACGAAGGTTAAGCTCACAGCAAGGGAAACCCACCTTAAGCAGCCGGTTCAGAAAAGAGATGTAGTCGGCCCATTCCTGTAGCGCCGTGTCAAAGAGGGACAGAGCCCTCTCGATGCCGCTCGCATATTTGCGGTGATGTTTGTCTTTGGGGGGGGGATCTTCTACAAGCCACGAGTATCGTTAGCTCTAATCTCCAAACCCAAGTACCGTCAACTGTAATGGCCTAGAAATGGACAGACATACCTGCCCCTAACTGGTTCCTCCACTGGCGTGGCACGGGCGAGTCGCCGCCAGAGCTGTCTGGGGAGACAGACCGGCGGCCGGGCTCAAGCGCCATGGCTAAACAGGAGTTTTCCCGGTATGCGATCGTTGGCCGGGGTCATTGCCGGTTCAGATCCGGGTGTTGAGATGCCGCAACTCGGTAGGTGGCCGGAGGACAGTCCGCGTAAGTTGGAGGTTCCAGGTTGTCGATTTGGGAACAACGTTGCGCAATTGGTCCTAATGTCTGGGGCAGTACGAAGTACCTAACTCGGGAGTTACAGGCCCTGAGGCCCCACCAGATGAATGCGACACCGCCAAGGGACCAACATCGTAGGCGCCGTTGATTGGTTTCAACCCCCCAAGCTCAACCCTGCAGCGGCGGATCGGCAAGGCTGAGACCGCCGGGCAACGCTCCCGCTATCTTATCGATGGGGGCGAGGGGGGTTGTCGCATGCGCATCCGCTGTCGTCATTTCCAACTTGCCCGTTCCTCAATGTCACTGTCGGTGCTTCTCTCGCACCAACCCAACCTTAGGACGACCGTCGCCTCCGAAAAGCAGACCCTCCCCCTTGCCGTACGCCTGCACCCCGCCGTCATGACATATTTCCACTCTGGAATACCACAAGAAGGACCTTGAATTTTTTGAATAGCCGCAAACAATGCGCTCGTCGGATCACGAGGCGGTGTATCGACAATGGCCCGGGAAACGGAAGTTGAAAGCAGTCATGACGGTCCTCCCAAGGTGACTGAAACCTCTCCGTCTCCGTCTCCGTCGCCGCCACCGCCGCCTTTGCCTCCTCGTCAGATGATTTCGAGCGACAGTCCTGCCCAGGTTGCGCCGGCTCAAGCAAAACCCACCACAGCCGTGTCATCTATCGACATCTCAACTGTGTCGTTCCCGGACGGCTCTCGAGGCACCTTTTCAACAAGCGCACCTCGCGTCGGCTTCACGCCGCATACAAATGCTAGCGGATATGGGACGCCCGGCCGCGATGCCACTGGCGGCGACCTTGCCGACTCGATGAGTGTCATGAGTTTCGCCCCAACATTGCGCCCGCACGGAGACCTAGCTAGCCTAGTCGCGGATGGGCTTAACAAGAAAAGCCGTGCTTGGAACATGTTGAGGTCACAGTCGGAGACAGTCCAGCCGTTTGAGAGCATCGAGCTCGGCGCTCCCGGCAGCCTCGCCGGTTTCGAAAGGGAATTTGACGAAATCCCGGACGATAAAACCGACGATATCAGGATGGCCATCTGGAAATCCAAGATGAAGCATTACATGATTCTCTCGTCTGCTGGAAAGCCAATCTATAGCCGCCACGGCGATTTGGGACTGGTCAACTCGTACATGGGCGTGGTGCAGACCATCATCTCTTTCTACGAAGGGGCTAATAACCCTCTCCTGGGCTTCACCGCAGGCAACGCACGATTCGTCATTGCCATCGAGGGCCCTCTTTACTTTGTAGCCATCAGCAGGTTGAACGAGAGCGATGCCCAGCTGAGAAGCCAACTTGAAGCCTTGTACATGCAGATATTATCTACCTTGACGCTGCCGACCCTCAAGAGCATATTCGTTCATCGCCCTTCGACAGATCTCAGGAAGCCTCTCGAGGGCACCGAGTCACTCCTCTCGTCTCTCGCCGACAGCTTTACCCGAGGCTCCCCCTCGACTCTCCTTGGCGCCCTTGAATGTCTGAAGTTACGAAAGTCCCAGCGTCACGCCATAAACAACGTATTCCTCAAAAACCGCAGCGAAAAGCTTCTCTACGGACTTGTTGTCGCAGGTGGAAAGTTAGTGAGCGTCATCAGGCCGCGGAAACACTCGCTGCACCCGAGTGACCTCCAGCTTATCTTCAACATGCTCTTTGAATCAGGCGGCATCAAGTCCGGCGGTGGAGAGAGCTGGATCCCGCTCTGTCTCCCAGCCTTCAACAACCGTGGCTATCTCTACATGTACGTCAGTTTCTTCGACGGAAATGCGGACCCAGCCTTTTCGGCCGAGTCCACCGCAGAGGATACCCCTGAATCATCGACCGACACCAATACGACCAACACAACCGAGAAGGAAGACGAAATCGCCCTCATCCTCATCTCCCCAGACAAAGAATCCTTCTACGACCTTAAAGAGATGCGTGACAAACTCGCCGCCCAGCTCACAAAAACAGGCCACCTCTCCCTCATCCGCTCCGCCGCCCGCGAGCGCCGTCCCCAGATTCAAACCATCGCCCCCGGCGCCCAAATCGCCCACTTCCTCTACAAGTCGCGCGCCAACGTGCAGTTCTGCATGTCCGCCCTCGAACCAGCCAACCCCAACCCCACCCCGGGAACATCCTCCACAACGCCCACAACAGTGGCAACAACAGCAACAGTAGCCTCAACCTCAACCTCCACCTTAGAACCAGAAAAGATGCTCACGCGGCGGCGCCTGATGACGCTTTACCACGAGCTGCACGCGTCCATGCACGCCAAGCACGCCCACCTCAAGGTCCTGCACGCCGTCAGCGAGGACGCGGCCAGCCTGGCGTGGATCACGCCCGTCTTTGAGTTCTACTGCGTCGCGGGCCCCAACGCGCCGCGCGCGGCCATGGCGCAGGGGGCGAACCGCGTCATTCAGTGGGCGAAGCGTGAGGAGGAGAGGTTGTTTATTATTGGGGGCGGGGTGTTTTAGTTGACAGGGGAGGGGGGTGTTGATTCGTGTGGTTGATAGATGGTGAGGTTGGAAATGGATGTCTTTCATCCTTGCAAATAGAGTTAGCCATTGTTTTGCATGGGATTGAGCGATGCTTCTAGAATATACCCATCGTATTAGCTACCTAACCATGTTTGCAAAACGAGCGATATTCTCCAGACCAACTGTCTGTATTTCATGTCACACTTGATCTGTTGGTGTAAACCAAGTGTTTCGAAACACAAAAATCACCTGCAACTTCTCGGACGACTACGGCTGCGAGTGATGGCTTGTCTCGCCTTGCTCATCCACCTAGCCACCCGGCCCCTGAGACGACCATGGCGGCGTTTCCGTACGGGGTTCGCGTCCGCAACGCCCACCGCTCTTCCGCCCTCGGAGGCGTGAGTTGTTGTTGAATGCTCTAGCATCTGTAAGTGAAGTTCGCCGAGCCGGCTCTCAAGGTCCGGAAAGCGCTTCTGTAACCGGCGGAGGGCCTTCCCGTTTACACGGCTACGCGAGGAAAGCAAAGTGAGAATTTCATTCGGCACAGCCGGCTTCTGAGTGGTGCGGGAGGCCTGGTTGGCAAACTCCCCGCAGCACTGGCTCGGCGGGGGCGCTGGCGGAGTGTTGGTGATGAACGAGTGACGTTCGAGGCCCTCGAGGCCCTCGACATTATTCGGAGATGCGTCGTCGCTCCGGCTCAGCTCTGAGCTTAAACGATGACTATCAAAGGATGCCCCGGATGTCCCGCCTGTCTGCCGTCGAGACTTGGAGAGTGCACCCCTCGACACTTTCAGCTTTAGCTTCCTCTCGCGGGAATTCGGGCGCTCGGCTTCATCGGCTAACTCCCAACTTCTTCGGACCCAACCCTCAGGCAGCCTCGAGGCGGATAGAGGGATCAGAGGGCTTGAACTTTCGACGGAGGGGACACCCGGGCCCGCTTCCCGCCTGCTTAGTTGCTTGGTTACCAGCTCGGTGGTGGTTTCATTGATTTTGCCCTTTGTATCGATCTCAATAACCTCCGGGGCAACACCCGAGCCAAGTACGCTCGGTTCGAACAGGTCAGACAAACGAATCTTGGGAACAGCAATGTTTCTTCTATGCCTTCGAAATGCGGCGTATTTGACATGAGAATCAGACGTCGTATCTTGAAGCGGTGTTGGCGATGCTTTGTCAGAGGCTGAATCAATTCCGTGTCCGTGGTGTATACCGGAAGCGGTCATTGGTATAAGCGCAGGGCTGCTATCGTCATAGTTCCGACGATCAGCCTCCAACTCCTAATCAGAGGCGCCCACTTGCCTAGTCTTAGAGAGGCTAGTTGGAGTAGCAGGCGGAGGGCCAGGAACTGGCTCATCGCCTAGTCCGTCGAGGGTTTCCTCTGAGGTTGAATAACCTCGAAAGACGTGCTCGATAGGTGAAAGTTGCTCAGCTCGTTCCTCCATGCTGATGGTCGGGCTGCCACTCCGTGTACCTTGGTTACTGGGTCGAGATTGTGACTGAGAGTAAATGCCGTCATACTCCTCCACTGAGACTGTCTCAGACATGCTGCCTCGGTACGATGGGAGTGACCTCCTATCATCGATGAGATCGAGTGCTCTTACACTGCTGGCGGGCGAGGGTTTGGCAATGGTCGGTTCGCTCCAGGCTGACTTTGGGGACCTTGAAACGTGAGAAGCGCTGACAGAGCGGATTGAGTCGATGGAGAACAAGCCAATGTCTCCCGTCTCGGTGGTCTTTCTGAGCATGCTCTCCAAAGGTGCTGGAGAGGTCAGAAGGAACGGTGCCGCCTTTGCTCGAAGTTGAGTCCGCGAGGGCGAGGGAGAGGTATGAGAGCGGCGTTGGGCTTTGACTGTATAGTTGTGATCAAGGGGCCCTTGGCTCGCGGATCGTGGTGTTGGTTGGGGGTGGTCCATCGAGACAGTATGATTGCCCAGTGAGGGTACACCACGCCGGCAGAGATATTGGCTTGGCCTAGTTGGAAATTGGTGGTATGCATGTTTGATGCGGAAAGTTGAGCCAGCAAGGTTCAGTATCAATCAATTCTTGCGGAAGGAGTGAATACAAGGCACGCATAGTAACCTGAGGAAATCACGATAGGGGAAAAAAAGATCCAGAAAATGGCTAATGCCTGATTCAAGGAAGCATCCTTGACCACCTCTAAATCCAACCCATCTCTACGAATAGAACACCACGGTTTTTGCAGGCACCACCTCCACCAAGGTGTCAGCCAACACAGCACGTGTCAGCGACAAAGGCCAGCGGGGAGCTACAGAAGCACTTGCTTGCATTCAGCTGGCCTTGCGAGACAACCCGTCAATGATGATGAGTGAAAGAGACTTTACTAATTGGCTAGGCCACCAGCGGCTGACACTCGGCCCGTTGGCTTTTGGACACGGAGCCTCAGCCATGTGTTCTGTCTAATACAACCTGGTGTTAGTGGTTGTGGGTCATGGATATAAACTAACTCGGACCGTCATCCCCCTTGGGGCGGGACGGGACCGAATAGCCGTGTTTCCTGGGCACGTAACTATCTGATACAACCGGAACGAACATGGCCACATGGGGGCTGCCGTAAGTGTGTTCGGGGTTGATACGAATCGGAGATGTGGCCTTCTTTCATGCGGCGTACCTATACAGCCAAAAGATTCACCATAGTTGTCTCAGCCGACGGGGATTTGTAATGTCGCAACACGTCGAAATACGGGTCTGACTGAGCATTTGATGCTTTGTGGCAACAAACATCTGGCAAGTCAGACGCGGGCAACAAACGGGTAAGAGCCAGCCATCCAGCCCAGCGGATACAGTGCGGCAACGGCAACCCCATGGTGGGGTTGTTGCATTGCTTAGCAGGTGGAGCTACAGCACGGTGTGAATGGCGTCCAACAATACGGCTACTTGCTCCAACTTCACGATTAGGAAGCAGGGCACTTTGAGTACTCAAACGCCCTTTTAATGAGCACATATACAATGTAGATAACACTCAAATGCAATTTAACCTTACAACCGGCTTTTCTGTTTCTGCATCCTTTCATGGTAGATCTGGGACCAAACGACCTGCTTCAGCCACCACCGCAGGGAAGTGGATTGTTAGTTAATCCATACTGTGTAATTGTCCCAGCTCCAAACGCCGGCCAGGCGGTGGACCGGGACTTGACCCCACCTTCTGCTCCTTTCAGCAAGCGCTGTTGGCCCGCCAAGGCAGGCTAGAGGCTGAGCGGTGGAAAAGACACCTGTTCAATCGACCTCAATGCAGCTTTGTCACTGACAGCCCCAAGATACAAGAAGCCTCAACCAGTTCTCGCCCTTGGTTTCTTGGGATATCCCCTACACTTCATTTTCTCTTCAACACTCGAGGCCCATTCGCATACCCGCCTGGTATCGCTAGGAATTCAATCCATTGGCCTCCTCCAATACCTTCTCAACCTACCAATCCTTTTCTGCCTTTAAGTAGCCCAGAGTAAGTTTCACCTTGGTGCCACGTTCCCCGTCCTTTCTTCCCCCAACTCCCCACCGCCTGCTTTGTGCTCCCAATCCCCAACTACTTCATCAAGCACGCAGCCGGCTCACACTCTCGCTGTAAACAGAACAGGAAACTTCAAAATGCACAAGGCCCACAAGTTCGCTCTCGGCCTGCTCGCTGCGGCGGCAGTTGCCACGGCCTCCGATGTTGTCCAGCTGAAGAAGGACACCTTCGACGAATTTGTCAAGGCAAACGACCTTGTCCTCGCTGAGTGTAAGCCACACACCATACCCTCGCCAATCGCCCACATATACTGACAGATTTCCTCTACTAGTCTTCGCTCCGTGGTGCGGTCACTGCAAGGCGCTCGCGCCCGAGTACGAGGAGGCTGCTACCTCGCTCAAGGAGAAGGACATCAAGGTCGTCAAGGTCGACTGCACAGAAGAGGCCGACCTCTGCCAACAACATGGCGTTGAGGGCTACCCGACGCTCAAGGTCTTCCGTGGCCTTGACAACGTCTCCCCATACAAGGGCCAGCGCAAGGCTGCTGCGTACGTTTTCTCGTTAACCACAACGCAAGGACATATAACTAACACACTCCCAGCATCACATCATACATGGTTAAGCAGTCACTGCCTGCCGTCTCCGAGGTGACCAAGGACACTCTCGAGGAGTTCAAGAAGGCCGACAAGGTCGTCCTTGTTGCCTACCTTGACGCCGCCGACAAGGCGTCGAGCGAGGTCTTCACCGCGGCCGCTGAGAAGCTCCGCGACAACTACCCCTTCGGTCTCAGCACCGACGCTGCCCTGGCCGAGGCTGAGGGTGTCACCGCTCCCGCCGTTGTTCTCTACAAGGACTTCGATGAGGGCAAGTCGGTCTTCTCCGAGAAGTTCGATGCCGAGGAGATCGAGAAGTTCGCCAAGACCGCTGCCACCCCCCTGATCGGCGAGGTTGGCCCCGAGACCTACTCCGACTACATGTCGGCTGGCCTCCCCCTTGCCTACATCTTCGCCGAGACCGCCGAGGAGCGTAAGGAGATCAGCGAGCTTCTCAAGCCCATCGCTGAGGCCCAGCGTGGCGTTGTCAACTTCGGCACCATTGATGCCAAGTCGTTCGGCGCCCACGCCGGCAACCTGAACCTGAAGACCGACAAGTTCCCCGCTTTCGCCATCCAGGAGGTCGCCAAGAACCAGAAGTTCCCCTTCGACCAGGAGAAGGAGATCACCTTCGATGCCATCAAGGCCTTCGTTGACGACTTCGTCGCCGGCAAGGTCGAGCCCAGCATCAAGTCCGAGCCCATCCCCGAGACCCAGGAGGGCCCCGTCACCGTCGTCGTCGCCAAGAACTACAACGACATTGTCCTTGACGACACCAAGGATGTCCTGATCGAGTTCTACGCCCCGTGGTGCGGTCACTGCAAGTCCCTTGCTCCCAAGTACGAGGAGCTCGCTGCTCTGTATGGCAAGAGCGAGTTCAAGGACCAGGTCGTCATCGCCAAGGTTGACGCCACCGCCAACGACGTTCCCGATGAGATTCAGGGCTTCCCCACCATCAAGCTCTACCCCGCCGGCAACAAGGCCGAGGCCGTCACCTACTCCGGCTCCCGCACCGTTGAGGACCTCATCAAGTTCATCGCCGAGAACGGCAAGTACAAGGCCAGCGTCTCGGAGGAGGTTGAGGAGCCCTCGTCGGCCGAGACCGAGGCTGCCAGCGAGACCGAGACCAAGGCCGAGGAGGCCAAGGAGACTGAGCACGACGAGCTCTAAAGGAGAACATGTCTTGATGTGTAATTTAGAAATGCTTTTTGGGTGTTTTCTTTAGGGACCACGGGCACACGGATTGACGCCCGGGATTCTGGGATGGGGTTTGCCAAAACGCGCATGTGTCTAATGAATGAAGCCTGTTATGATTGCCACCTGACTCTCTTTTTCCTTGTGTGACTACTGAGTCCCACCCCCTTTCTGTCTTGCTTCAGCTGCTGCACCATGCAAGGGGCCACTAATTCTGCCCGTCCTCCCCGCCTAAAATTATCCCTGCGAGTCGCGCAACGACCAGTGGTCGCATGCTCGGGCACCCTTGTCAGTGTCGAAGCCCAGGCCTAAACTCCCGCCTGTCCCGGAGTGAGCGCATGCCACCAACTGTGCCTCGACCCGACCGAGAATAATTTTCTAAGATTATATTGCGCCCCCCCCACACCCCTTCCACGTCGTTTTAGCCTTTCCTTTTTTTCCCCCTTTCTCTTTCGCACAAGTTAGCAGAACCCAGCGCAGCACAGTTACGAACGAATAGCCCCCCTCCGGAAAACCATGGCCTCGCGAATCCTATCCCACGGCGCCCGCGCCCTGACGAGAACGGCTGCGCCGACAGCCCGCGCTTTCAACACCTCCGCCGCGAGGCTGGATGCTGTTGCCGCCGGCGTGGTGCCGCCCCTCCCTGCGAGGAGGCCGGTGGGTGCGCTGAGAGGAGGGTATGTTATGTTCTTTTTTTGCTTGGGTCTTTTTGCCCCGCGGTTGCGGGGTGGAAGGGTATGACTACTTGGGAACGGTTTGGCTGACTGGGTTTTGGTTGGGAACAGACTCTTCGGCTTCTTCCTCGGTAGCTCGCTTGCCGCCGGCGGCGTCTACTACTACGCCCTCCAGGAGTACAAGGCTTCGAATGAGCTGCTGACCGAGGACATTTACGTGCGTGTTTGCATTTGAGACATGGCGCCCGCTGCACTTTTCTCTTCTTTTTTTTTCTGCTTCTTCTTTTGATTCTTCGACATTCGTTCTGCGCGCCCACCCGCCTGCCCGCCTGCCTTCCCGCGTTTTCCGATCGACACGGCGCTGCTGCTGCGTTTTATAGACAGACTTGCTTGTGGTTTGAGGGAAAGACAAAAGCGAGAGAAAGAAAGAGGATAGACAGACAAATAGAGGGGTGGAAGTGGGGGGTGGGGGTGGGCGAGGGGTTGAAGCGTAATTATCTTGGTTTATTTCGCGGGCTGGGGGCTCGGTTGGTTGGCTGGTGTTGGTGATACTCTCATGAGCACTGCTTGCGCTAACTAGCTGAAGAGCCCCCTTTCCTACGGCTAACAGTCAGACGCTGAGGGATATAAGCTGACTAGCTGTGGTGGACAGGCCCTTCAACACACAGTTGACAGGCTGAGCAAGTACCTGACAACGCTGGAGGAGAAGATGGAGGCCTTGGAGAGGAAGAAGAAATGAGTTATGACTGGGATGGATGGAGTGGATGGGTTTGGGGCGGCTATGGATCTCTGGGAACGGCGCGGATATGGGAAGGTTTAATTTGAGTTATACACTGTTTCTGAGAGAGCATGTTCTTGACGAGAGCATTAGAGGGGTGTCGCGTGTCACCATGGCACCACATTTATGGTTTTTCTTGACCAATTCGGAGATCTCAGATCTCGGCCTTCTCTGAGAATCCCCTGGCAACCCAGGGAGCCTGCGAGGTTTACTGTATCCGAACCCCCGAGAGTGACATTTTGCCATACCTCAAAGTAGAATGCTATTAGATGTTCCGCGTGAAGCTCAGACGTCACCGGCCCGCTTCTCAAGGGTAGGGTGCCCCGGTCCCTGTTCGGTGTTGTGGATCTCGATCGGCCCTCGCTCAAAATCACCCGAACCTGCATCAAACCATCCCGCTGCTGCTTCCACCTCTGCCCCACCAACCTCAACCATCACCATGAATAATTTCGGGGTCATCGAAGTCGCCAGCACGGCGACAAAAAACACACCAGGATGGGCCTACGTACCGGACACAGGGCCTGCGCTGTCCGCTGCACTGCAGCCCGCGAACAGAAAGCGCGTCGCACGCAAACAGACCACCCTAAGCTTCTCGGATCTCTCAGCACGCGAAGAGACGAGGATACGGAAGGATCTGGAAGCTCTCGACCGCGATAGCCACAAAGATGCGAACATCCCGATTCCGCCCCGGCCTGGGGGAAGTAGGGGTATGCATACGCGCCCACCCCAACGAGACGAAATCTAAAACTGACCGTCCTGTAGCCCAGAACAAGCACACCCCGAACGTGCGCAAGATCCTCCAGTCGCAAAAGACCTTTGCCAACCATCTCGACGACTACCAAGCGATGCTCGCACTGGCCGAGAGCAACCCTGCCACCGCAGCAACCATGAACCCAGCAGTAGCGAAACCATCCACCCCCACAACGGCCGCTTCAAAGAGTGCTTCGCCAGCGCCCACAGCAGCATCCGCCGGCGGAAGCAAGCGGTCAGCGGCGGCGGCAAAACGGGCAGCAGCGAAGGAGAAACAAGAACAGGAAAAGGAAAAGAAAAAGGCGCGACGGACGCCCAAAGCAGAGCAGGAACCCGAGGCCGAGCCACAACCCCAACAACAGCCAGACGACCAAACCGACGTCGAAATGCCAGACGCCACAGCACCGACCGAACCCACACCAACCTCAGCCTCCGAACCGGACCCCCAACCATCCACCTACCCACGGGACAGCCTCATCCTCCCGGCATACGCCAAACCTCCACCGCCGACGCACCCGGGCGACGCCGACCCGCTGCTGGTCTCGCACGTGCCGCCGTTCCCGTCCGACGACGAGCTCCGGGCGCTGATGGCGGCGCCCCCGCTGAGCTACCTCGAGGCGCGCGCCGAGTGGGGCGAGGAGGAGGGCCGGTACCCCGTGCGCGTGTTCTGCACCGTGTGCGGCTACTGGGGCCGCGTCAAGTGCATGAAGTGCGGGACCCGCGTCTGTGCGCTGGAGTGCCTGGAGGCGCATCGCGAGGAGTGCGTTTTCAAGGTATGGGTTGTTGAGGGGTGCGGGGAGGGGGAGAAGGGTTACAAGGCTAGGGGGTGGGAGGCCGGGTGTGTGAGGGACGCGGGTGGTTCCGCTGCTGAGGCATAGTATGATACCCATTTACCGTTTTTCAATCAAGAACCAACGATTTTACATCACTCTCCTCTCACACATTCTGCGGGTTGGTGCACCAGAGATTGGACAGGGTGGGTGGCCAGCCGCTTGGGGCAGGAACAGGATGTTACCATCTCGGAGGACTCTCTGGTCTTCTCCATTCTCTTGTTTATCTATGCCAGAGGATCTACCCCTTTATCAAACAGACATGCCCAGTCAACACAGGGCAAAACCACGCCCAAAACCCCACCGCCGAACGCCGTCAGAACCCAACCACCCCGAAACGCCAACCCAAAAACAACACAACAAAATAAAACCCACCACCACCACCACCACCAAAACCCCAACCCCCAACACAAACCAAACAAACAAAACAACTCAAACACTCCCCAACCGAAACCTCACATCCCCCCTCGTCGCCGCCCCCACACAAACGCCCTCAAAACTCCCCTGCGGACACGCCTCGCGCGCCGCCGCCACGCAGCGCGCCCACCGGTCCTTGGACACGTTGATGGTGGCCCCCTGCTTGCGCTCCGTCGCCTCCAGCGTGAACACGGCCTTGCCCGACCGCCCGACCGTCTCGGCGGGGGCGCCGCCGCACCGCGTGGCCAGGGGCCCCGCGATGGAACCGCAGATGGCGAGGGAGGCGGCGTATTCGTCGTAGAGGACGAAGCGGCTATAGGTGGTGGGGGTGGTTAGTTGTGGGTTGTGGGTTGGTTGGTGGGGGTTGGGGGGATGGCTTACGTGGAGGTGTCGAGGCAGACGACGTCGCGCACTGAGTTGGGGCTGATGGGTTTTTGCCGGCGCAGGGAGAGGCCTTCGTAGTAGGACTGCGGGACCATCACGCGGCGCTGCTGGTATTTTTCGTACCAGGGTTGTGGGGGCGCCGCGAGGGAGAGGGCGAAGAGGGTGAAGAGGAGGAGGATGAGGCGGGACATTTTGTATGTTTGGTTTCGTTTGTTTTGGGTTTTTGTATGAGCTGTGTCCTCAGGATCGTAGGATAGATGTGACGCTGAATGAGAGAGAGAGAACGGCTTCTTGGGCCTCTCGGTTCAAGTCGGTTCAGGAAAAGAGTGTAGATATGTACAAATATCAAAAACAACCGATCACAGACCGAGATACGAAGGAAGTGGTGATGCCAGCATCTGAGCAGAGAGATACCCCGGGAGATGGTGGTGAGTTCTCAGTCACGGACCGTCAAGGTGTCAACATGTCAGTCAACCTTTGAAACTGACGAAAGGAACCGGACCACGACAAACGGCGGCGGGCACCCTGGTCTTTCAACCTCGTCCCAAACCTCAAAACTCGCTCCTGCAGGGAGTCTCCCGTTTGTTTCCACGGGCCCCTGCCAAGCCGGCGTGGATCGACGGACGGCGCCCAAAGTTCAATGCGCCGGTGGAGGATCCGATCGGCAGTAACCCGCAACGGCTTGCCACCAAACAAACGACGAAAATGACCTCGGCGCATCACGGAACCCAGTTTCCCCGACCAAAAGATACCCCGTTGCTCTCCACCTGCCTGATAAGTGTCAATGGCGGGGATGGCAATCGGCGGTCCTTTGGAGTTCAGGCTGTGCAGAAGACTGCGACCACGGATCCAAGTTTCGAAGTCTTCAAGGAGGGGATGCGGGCAGCTTCTGAAACAAGCGAGGGAGAGAACCTGGTGCTGCTGATTGGTTGGTTCGGGGGATAAGGTGATAACCCCTGAGAAGAAGACAAACGACTCGCAGTGACTTGCCGTCGGATACAGGGAATGTCAGATTCTCCATCGGTCTCGAAGCCCAGTCAGCGATGGCATCACACGAGGAGCCGGGGATTTCATGTGCATCACCCTGCGATGACGAAAGATGGAGATGGTTGGCACCGTGGGGCGGACATCGAGCCTCCGATATACCTTGTTATGTGGGGTGAACAGAAGCCCCAAAACCCGACACCACTCATCCTTAATCAACGAGTGTACCGAATATTGGATAGATCAACAGAGCCGACTTGTTGATCATGTAACCGCCGTGTATATTCAACTCATCAGAAGCGAACATTGGACCGCCGCTCCTCTCAATTTCGGCCTTTGGCAGTCGGTCTTTTCAAGCCCGCCAATGGCGGGCGGTGCAGTGTTGGCTTCCTTAATATAACATGTACATAAACTCATGAGAGTTTGTTGAACAGAACAGATGTGGGCTGCCGAGGGAGCTCGGAACCACCAGCTTTAGGTTGGCGGCAGGCGACGTTAACGACTCAGGCCGAAACGGGCGTTTGCCTCCGCTCCCCACACACACCGCAAACGCCGCAATCCCCAGCATTACGATATTTTGTCCCCTTACATGTCTTGCTCTGGCATGCCCATACACCCAACCTCCCTCCTGGCCCGAGTGTGTTGGCGCACATGGCACAGGTGGTTGCCGCTGGCTCGTTGACGAACGTGCACACCGAACACGTGCTCGAATCCCGAGAGCTCAGAGCGGGAGGCCGGGTTTGTTGTGGTGCTGGCGGCTTCGGTTTCGGGTTTGGGGGTTTTGGATCGCTGGCCGTATCTGACTTGCTTGCTGCCGGCTTCGCGATCGGTTTACCCAGGTTCTTATCCTGGGTCAGGTCGATCGTTTTGACGGCCGGCTTCCTCGATCCGAAACTCCGCAGCTCCCGTAACTCGTCTTGTGCATCTTGATCATCGGGGTTCTCGTCTTCGCAGATCTTGATCATCCCTCTCCCCTTTGAATCGACAAGTTTCGTGCCGTCGAGATCAACGGCGTCCGGGCCGGATATTGTGTCGTCTTCATAGTCGTCGCCACTCTCTGTTTCGGATCCCTCTTCTTCTTTCGGCTCTTCCTTTTTGTGTTGGTCGAACCGAGCGAGAGCTGCCGCAGCCCTTAATTCCCTCCCTCTTGCACTCCCCGCCACTCGTGGTTTGGCCGCTATCTTCCTGCCCTTCTCCAACTTCTGCTTGGTCTCGGCATCGTCGCCGAGAGCAACACCATTTGCTCCGAACTTTTTGAGGATGCGGCGTTCTTTTTGCTCTTTGTAAGTGAGGGTCTTTTTGGCCTTCCGTTTTCTGTCTCGCGAGCGGTACGTGCCGCCGCAGAGGTGCTCTGGCAATAGTTCGCCGGGATCAACCATATTCTTCTCAAACTCTCCGGTAGCTAGAACCGCGCCTCTCCCCCAGAGGCCTTCTCCGGTAAAGCCGCGAGACCACAGCCCCCTCATTTGCTCCGCATACTGGTTCCTGACGGCCCAGAAGGCGCGTGAGTGGTTCATCTGTTTACAATGAGCCAGCCTGAGGCTGAAATGTCAGCAAGTTTATAAGCCATAGGAGGCTGCGGGGACGTACTCATGCATCATGACCATTTGCACATAGTTGAAGGGCAACCAATGACCAGACCGGGCCTTGAGCACCAACTGAATAACCTCGCCGGCATTGAAGTTGCGGCCGACAAACTCGGGATTTGGCTCGTACTCCTCCAACGACATGACCGAGAGGCGGTGTTCCCGCATGACAGGCACTGCAAGCAACGTTAACATTCACATTTCGAGGCAAGACATCCAGGAAAATCTATTCCACTTACAACATTGCGCCGCAATTCTCTCCAGGAAATCTTGCGCAATTCCTTCTCCCGGCCCCTTCAACGGTTTGATGAAAACGATGCACTCATTCGGCTGCGATCGCTTTGCGTTAAGGCGCTGTATCCCGAGTGGCATGTTGTCGTTAAGGGTACAACGTCGATGATAGGTTTCACTACAGTATCAAGTCGCTTTTAAAAGGCGAGAGAAAAAAAAGGAAAGTGGCAAGAATGCTAGAGGTGGGAAAGTGAGGCACGAATGAGGCTACGCGATGGGACAGGGAAAGAGTAATCTCGCGTTAAGTGGTGGCGCCTAGTCACGTGATACCCTTGGCCATCAACAACGAGTGGAGAGGGATGATCATTGAGGAGTTTTGATAAGCTGGAAAAATGGGAAACAAAGGAAATTATAAAGGCTCTGAAAGAATGATAATATATTTAGTATAGGAAAAAAAAAAAGAAAGAAAAAGGAAGAAAAAAACCATTCAACTTAACAGCTAGAATAAAAGGCAAAAGCTCACCGGCCAGCCCCCATCTGGGGAGGTGGCCGGCTACGGAACCCCGTTAGGGATTTCTCCGGGACAGATCTAAGAGCGCAGTGCCCTCTTAATCTCATTTGTTTCACCCCGGCTCGAACCTGCAACCTCCAGGGAATTATTACACAGGTGCGAAACCGAGGTGGCAGGACCACCGTCAGTGCCAATTAAGCCACCGTCGTTGGGGCCACTTCCCATCGGGCGGTGATCCTCGTTAGAGGCCGGCAGGAAAGAACTTGTATATACAATATAGATCAGTGATTCATAGTTTAAGGTGCCATCTTCCAATTCCATAAGTAAACTCGGCACCTTGGTACCCATAGCAAGTACCCTGTACCTACGGCCATACATCGATGCATTCCAGTCGCCTTCTACCGCCAAAGCATACAGAAATAAATCACACCCTTATCAAACAATCTACCTCCTCCGAGCACCACCGCCGCCACCACCACCAGGCCCCGACTCGCCCCTATCAGCAAGCGACACAACCTCCCCAATACCCGCGGCCTCTTGCTCCTCTTCAAGCAATGTAATCTCCTCGCGGCAGTCCCACCACTTCTCCTCGCTCAACTCAAAGGCCTTAGACTTGATCTCCTTGACTGTCAGTGTCTCGGGCTGGATGCCCTTCCACCGGAGGCTGGTCATGAGAATCTCCTGCCACTCGTTGGACGTGCGCTGGAAGAAGTCGCGGCGGGATTCGAAGGGCTGGAGGCACGATTAGCGTCGTTGGGGATCATTAGAATGGCTATAAAGAAGAACTCACTCTCGGGTGCGGCAGCCCGTCATCAACCGTCGTAGCCGCCGACTCGGTTTCCTCGTCTTCCTCCGAGGTAACGGTAGACGGCTCAGTGGAAGCAGAGTCGGCATTTGACGCCTCGTCGGCACCCTGCTTCTTCTTCCGCTTGCTCGGCGTAAATAGATTCCCCTTGGGCTCCTCTTCTGCCGCTTCCTCGTCATTATCCTCGTCGTCTTCGTCGTCGTCCTCATCCTCATCCTCATCGTCGTCCTCGTCGTCGGATACCTGCGCCTGTGATTAGTTATGTTTTCTCGATTTGCCATAACAGGTGTACTCACAACCCAGTCCTCCACCGGCCGGTTAAACACCTCCTTGCAGCCATCCAGCTTCCCCAGATCGACCGCGTACATATCATCAAACGTATACTCGCGGTCGCCCTTCTCAAACGTCCCGCCATACACATACAGCACATCATCCTGCACCGCCAGCAGGGCATTAAACCTCGGGTGCGGAAACTCCGCGCGAACAGGCATCTCCCTCAGCACCCTCTCCTCCTTTTCCCCCTCCTCCTTCTTCCCCCCCTCCATCCCATCCTCATCTTCCTCATCCTCGACCCCCGCCCCGGCCCTCAACGCCGCCAACCCCCTCAACAATTCCTCCTCATTCTCCTTCGCCCTCCCCCTCCTACCCCCAACCCTCTGCTCCCCACCACCGCCACCTCCACCACCCCTCCCTCTATTCCCCCCCGCATTCCCCCTCGGCTTCTTCAACCCCAACGGAAAAAACCGATTCCTTTCCACATTCCACGCAAACAGCGCGTTAAAAAACTCGCTATCGATCCCCTCCTCGCTCTCCTGCACGTCATGCACGCCGCCAAACAGGATCCCGCGCCCGCGGTGCCACGCCATGGTCGCGCCCGCCCGCGCGGGGTTGGGCGCGTTGGCCGGCTTCTTGCGCCGCTCCCACCGCACCGTGGGCGGCGCGCCCGCGGGGCCGTCCGCCGGTGGGGGAGTCACCCGCAGGAAGAAGCAGTCCGTGTGGAGGAGCGGGCGGAGCACGTTGCGCTGGGTGTTGTGGGCGGGTTGGCGGGTGGATTGTTGTTGCTTGTTGGTGGGGGCGGTGGTTTTGACGCGCGAGTAGCCGCCGTAGAGGACCGCGCCTTGGTCGTGGGGGAGGAGCGTGAAGGAGGAGCGGGCGTCGGGCTTGAGCTGGGCGGGGGGTAGCGTGGGGTTGTGCCAGACGAAGTTGGTGGTGTCATAGAGCCAGAGGTCGGACAGGTATTTGGTCTGGTTGGCGGTGTCCTGGAAGCCGCCGAAGAGGATGATGTAGTTCTTGAAGTAGGTCATGCGGTGGCCGGACCGGGCCGGCGGCGTCTTGCCCTTGGGTTCGAGGCGGGTCCATTCACGGGAGGTAGGGTCTAGTTTCCAGAAGTCGTTGTAGTGGTAGAAAGTGCCCTGCTTGGGGGAGCTGAACTCGCCGCCGAAGAGGTACACGGCGTTGCTCTGGTTGCCGCCGCGGGCCCAGGCGTGACCGCTACGGGGGAGGGGTGCGTTGGGAGAGGTGACGCAGCGCCACTCGTCGCGGTCAATGTAGTAGACCATGAGGTCGTTGAAAAAGGTTGCAAGTGAGCCGTTGAAGTACTCGCCCCCAAAGAGCAGCAGCTGGTTGCTGTTGGTTGGGTTGGCCAGGAAGGTCGCCGCTGAACGGGCGCGCGGGGGCTCCTCAACCACAGTCTCCGTGATTTTGAGGAATTTCTCCTGCTCTTTGCGGTACTCCTCGAGTACGGCATCCAAATCGACGTCCTCGGCATCACTGCCGTCCATCTTGGACGCCTTCACTTTCGCTTTCTTTTCGGCCTTTTTTTCGGCCTTCTGCTTCTTCTCGGCCAGCTTGGCCTTTTTTGACTCGGTTTTACCCTTTTTATCTTTCGCCATCCTGACTGTGTTGAGTTTGCGTTTCAAGGGCTACAATGCCGTATTCGAGTTGGGCAGCCGTTGTGTTGCAGAAACTGAGTGGAAGTGCGGAGAATCGCCCTGATGTATATGTTTTTTGGTGAAAAATGGATCCACCCCAACTCAACTGCGAATAACACATGTTTTAAGTTTGCACGAGTTGCGTAAAATACATGATATGAAATAGAGGCAAACCTGAAGGCAAGCTCAAATGGTTTGTTGGAATGGAATAATTCATACGGATCTCCCGCTCAGGCGTATATCTGGTGAGTGAGAAGTGGCGTATTGTCTCATTCATCAACCCCCTCATCTGCTGTACATGTCTATCTCCCGTATTCAATATCCCGACCATCTATGGCCATCTTGAATACTCATGCTTTCATCTATGATGCGTCTAGAGACGGTATGCTATACAGCTTGCCAACCCTAACGATGCTTGGGTACCTGACCACATCATCAGACCTCTGGCCTATCATCAAGGCAAAATTTACGAACGGTAGCCGTGCTCCTTCAGCCAAGCGGCTACATCCGCGCGGTCACGCTCAATCCACGTAACCTTAGACCGGATCGCATCCAAGCTCTGGGCCAGGGACTGGTCAAATCCGTTGGTGCTCTTGCCCTCAAAGAACTTCTCCACCTGCGCGAGCTGCTCCTTCTTAGTGAAGCTCGACGTAAAGATGGTGACCATGGTGCCCAGCATCGAGAGCGCCGGCGGTAGCTTCTTGACAAGCTCCTCCCAGTTCTCCGTCATCCAGGTGTATAGCGCTTGAATGCCCTCCGGGTGGCTGCGGAGGCCGCTGGTGGGCATGTAGATATCTTGGTCCTTGATCTCGCCACTAAAGAGAAGGTCAAGGGTACGTTTGATAAGCTCGGGCTGCTTGGCCCGGCCCAGGCAGCGCAGTGCCGTGTTGCGCTCATCGCTGTTGGTTGACTTGCGGTAAAAGTCTAGGACCGCATCATACTAATTTCCGGTTAGCCTTGACATGATACCAAGCAACCATGGCAAACATACCTCGTCCTGGCCGCCGTACTTCAGCGCCATGCTGAAAACGCTGCCACGAATGTTGGGGTGGATCGCCGCCCTGTCGCCTGCCATGAACCTCTTGAACATGTCCTTGGCAGCGTTAATGATAATCTCATCTCCGCTAATACCGGCAGTGCCGAACATCATAGCCTTGAACTGCTGCAGAATATGGCCGTCGTTCTCCGAGAACTGCCAGCCCAGTTCGTGCGCCTTGGCGCTCACGAGGTAGCGCAGGAACGCATCGAGGGCATCACGATCCTCCTGGTTCTCGAACATCCAGGCACTCTGCACCGAAGAGACCCGGGAAATGATCTCATTCCAGACAACGAACTCGGACTCGGAGTTGAAGCCCTTGAGAAGGCTCAAAACACCTGACGTGCTCTGGTAACCAGACTGGGCAAGGGCACCAGCATCGGCAATCATACCTGCCCTGTCTTCAACGCTTAGAAGTCCTTGCTTCGCCGCATCGCCCAGCTTCTTAAGCCGCTCTGGCGAGTAGGCCGTGCGGTACAGACCAGTGTGGTTTGCGTTCAGCTTGAAGAAGTCGGTGCTCGGCACCGTAAAGGTATCCTCCCGCTTGTCCAGAGTCTGCGACTCATCGATGCCGTCCTTGGTGAGCAGGCCGAGGAATACAGGGTAGATAACCTGGTCCTCCTCGGGTTTGGTGTCGCCAGTGCGAAGGAACCGGTTCTGCTTCAACTGGATGGTCTTGTCATCCTTCTCCGACACCGTAACCACGGGGAAACCAATGTTCTTGGTCCACACCTGCATCACCTCTTCCACGCTCTTGCCACTGGCCTCAGCAAGAGACGCCCACAGGTCCCCGGTCTGGGTGTTGCCGTAAGCATGCTTCTTGAGATACCGCCTGACACCCTCGAGGAAGGTGTCCTCGCCGAGGTAAGTCGAAATCATGCGCAGAACGCAGGAGCCCTTCGAGTAGGAGATGGCGTCGAAGATTTGGTTAATCTCGTCGGCCCTCTTTACCGGGACCTCGATCGGGTGACTGCTCCGGAGCGAATCCAGAGCAAGGGCACGCTGGAGGTTGTCGACCACATACGACTCCCAGACCTTCCATTCCGGGTAGAAGACGTTGCAGGAATACCACGAGGCCCAGGTGGCAAAGCCCTCGTTGAGCCACAGGCCGTCCCACCAGTCCATGGTAACAAGGTTGCCGAACCACTGGTGCGCCAGCTCGTGCTGCACGACTTCGGCCACACGCTCCTTGGTCGCCGCACCGCTGGCCTTCTCATCCAGTAACAAGTCGACCACGCGGTAGGTGACCAGGCCCCAGTTCTCCATGGCACCCTGAGCAAAGTCGGGAATGGCAATCTGGTCCATCTTCGGGAGAGGGAACTCAATACCAAAGACCTTCTCGTAGAATGCGAGAGTCTTGGCAGCCAGGTCCAAAGAAAAACGGCCGTGCTCGATGTTTTGGCCAGGCGGAGCATACACGCGGACGGGAACCCGGAAGTCGTTGGTCTCGATGCAGTTTAGCTCGCCAACAATAAAAGCCACCAGGTATGTCGACATCAGAGGGGACTTGTTAAAGCTAACGGCCTTTCTGGTTCCCCCTGTCTGCTCAGACTTGACATTGGCCTCGGAAGCAACATCCATGTTGCTCAGGCAAGTCAGGTTTTCGTCGGCAATGAGCGTAACGGTGAACTCGGCCTTTAGGGAGGGCTCGTCGAAGCAGGGGAACGAACGGCGAGCATCGGTAGGCTCCATCTGGGAGACGGCCAAGATACCCTCGCTACCGTCGGGGTTCTTGTAAGTCGACCGGTAGAAGCCAGCCATCTTGTCGTTGAGCTGGCCAGTGAACTTGATCTCAAACTGCGCCTTGCTTCCCTTGGCGAGGGTGTTGTCGAAGTCGAACTTGCTAACCTGGGTGGCCTCATTGTACGAAACGGTAGGGGACGAGCTGCATCTACGGTCAGATTCTAGGCTGCAAGAGCTGAAGGGGTAGGGAGAAGCTGGCTAACCTGACCGTCTGGCCGCCCGAGGTGATCTTGGAGCTGTGGATGTCGAGCTCGAGGGTGTGCAGCGAGATGGACTTGGAGTCCTCGACCACGTCGAGATCGATCACCACGGTGCCGTCAAATGTCAGCTTCTTGAAGTCGGGCTCCAACGTGACATTGTAGTGCCGCGGGATGACGTTGGCGGGGAGCAGCTCCCGTCCCTGCACGTTAACCCCACCTGCCACATCGGCAGCAGCCTGTGTTCGGCACATGTTGTGACGGCGGTAGGAGCAGTGACGGACTGGTGAGCTGCAGAGACGAAGTGTTCGTGGTTGTGAGAGCGTCCGATGACGGTGTAAGGAGATGGGAGTAGTTGGAGAGGAGGGTAGGCGACTCGAGACCGAGTAACTGCGGGGGCGACGATTAGTTCCGGCACCTCTGGCCACCCCTGGGTCCCTGACGTCCCTTGGGCTGGTGCGGGTCCCCTGGGCCGCCGTATGCGAAAGCGTACCGTGATGTAAAATTCTTTGATGTCAAATGCGTGCGGAAATGCAGCACCGCTCCTGCTCGTGCGACTGGTCTCTGCACTCCACGACAGACGGTACGAGCAGCAGGGTAAGAGCGAAACATCCTGAAAGAAAGAAGAGAGAAATCTTATGAATAAAAGACAGTATACATGAATGTACAGTGGGCCCTATCATACACTTTTTCGTCAGGTTGAAGCATTCCTCCCAAAATCCAACTGCAAATGAACGACTTTGCTTGCCAACCAAGAGCAGCGCTGCGCCGACGAATACCGCACAGGCCCCTGCTCTACCCATGCGGCAGGTACCGGTGTTCGCTTACTGCTTTCGGCAAGCGGTCAGTGACAGGTAAGGATGGCAAGGCCGGAATCGTGCCTTTCGAGCTTCCAGAAACGAATAGGTTGTTATGGAGAACAAAGAGGAATGTTTACGTACAGGCTGCCAATAGATGGTTTATTCGGGACAAACACCAATTCGTTTTCGGCAGCTGGCCTCTTCTACTGCGGGCACCCTGAGGAAGATTGTGTAATTACCTTCTTGCATTACACATTTCACCATTTCCATATTTTGAGAGTTACCCTGGCCATCGGCGCCCAACAACGGACAACAATCCATTCACGAAAATCATGGCTTCTATTGCAAATTGAAAATGCTTGCCTAAGGTAGTATATATTAGAGGCGAGTCCGTATAAAAGGCAATGGGCAGCAACATTCCTTCTTCAAGTCAACTTGGTCAAACGAAGCGAAACTTGAACGCGGCCGTCATCTAGCCAAGCGTATGACACCAGCCGTCCTAGAAGATTCATCGATCAAAAGCCCATAAACCTGTCTGCGCGTCAGAGGCTGTAGCTCTGCAGATGCGCCCGCAGGTTCTTGCTTCCCATCTCTGTCCCACATTCCATCGGAGAGCGATCTGGTTCTTCTGGTGGAGACCTCCCAGCTCCAGACCCACTCTTCAGCGCCCGCAGCGGGGTAACTGACAGCTTGGTGATGGAGGGGTTGAGGAGGGGCACCAAGCAGTTGGGTTAATATGGCAGGTTAGGAGCTCGGTGAGGAGCATATGATTACTTCTGACCGCGACCCGATACCACTGCGGGGGCGGCCAATGTTTGAAACTTAACATAGCACGTTGTTGAGGAAGGCTTCCTGAACAAATCGGGACTCACTTTCCATCTCGCGTTTCTTCCTCCCACCGTTGCACAGGGGTGGCTCCGACAACGGCGGGAATTTCCAAGCAGCCCAAGTCCCTGACCCCCGCGCTCACCAGAATTCGCTGGGCAAAACGGACTGTATTCGCCCCATCATGCCCGCGTTCCCCCAATGCAAGAGCCCGCCGTTTGTTTGGGCTGCACGCCATTGTTAGAGTGAAGTGTTAGAGCAGGGGTGGAAACGGGAGCAATCGAGCGCTCCTTCCCTCCGATTTGTTGAGTGATTCATCTTGTATGACAGGCGCATTTTAACAGCCACTAACAATCCCCATCAAGGTCCCCTGCAGCGCCTTATCACCCCACCAAAACAGATCCTGCCCCTCCTCAACCGCGCCTTGATCAGAAGCTTCTCCCTGCTCCGATCGACTTCTTGATCTCTTCCTTTTCCTCTTTTTCTCAGCCATCTGTCTCCCCACAACAGTACGAGAACTGCCAACCAAGCTCAACCCAAGGTACGTATCCCAACATTTAACTTCGTTTTGCCTTCCCTTTCTCGTCTCCATGACCTCCTCGCCTCCAAAACAACGCGAACCCTCGTCTACCAGTTTTGGGCGTCGATGAGGCTTGCGGCAAATCCCCTCTAGCTTGCAATTGAGCGAATTTCGCCCGTAAAGATGGGCAAATGGTCCTCCGCGGCCCACAGCTGGTCTCTCGCAGCTCAAGCTGTCATCGTACCCATACCACACCCTCTTCTTAACCTTCCATCGTTGAACAGCCCTTGGTTGCCCGCCTGCCAAGTAACTCACTGACATCCAATTGCCAGAATCATTCACAATGACCATCTCCAAGATCCACGCTCGTTACGTGTACGACTCTCGCGGTAACCCTACCGTCGAGGTCGATGTTGTGACCTAGCTTGGCCTCCACCGCGCCATTGTCCCCTCGGGCGCTTCTACTGGTCCGTCACACCGATCTCCATTTCGTCGGCAAGGGCTTAACTGACGGGTGTGGTGACACAGGGCAGCACGAGGCTTGCGAGCTCCGCGACGGCGACAAGACCAAGTGGGGTGGCAAGGGTGTCCTCCAGGCCGTCAAGAATGTCAACGAGGTCATCGGTCCCGCCATCATCAAGGAGAACATCGACGTCAAGGACCAGTCCAAGGTTGACAAGTTCTTGATTGACCTCGATGGCACCGCCAACAAGACCAAGCTTGGTGCCAACGCCATCCTTGGTGTGAGCTTGGCTATTGCCAAGGCCGGCGCTGCCGAGAAGAGTGTGCCTCTCTATGCTCACATCTCGGACCTCGCTGGCACCAAGAAGCCCTACGTCCTCCCCGTTCCCTTCATGAACGTCCTCAACGGCGGGTGAGTTGGGATATTCGCTTAGTAGACTTGTGAGGCGCTTTGCTGACGATTCTTGATAGTTCCCACGCTGGTGGTCGCCTGGCTTTCCAGGAGTTCATGATCGTCCCGTCTGCTGCGCCTTCGTTCTCCGAGGCCATGCGCCAGGGTGCTGAGGTCTACCAGAAGCTGAAGGGCCTGGCCAAGAAGAAGTACGGCCAGTCCGCCGGCAACGTTGGCGATGAGGGTGGTGTTGCCCCCGATATTCAGACCCCCAAGGAGGCCCTCGACCTGATCATGGAGGCCATCGAGGAGGCTGGCTACAAGGACCAGATGAAGATCGCCATGGATGTGGCCTCGAGTGAGTTCTACAAGACGGACGCCAAGAAGTACGACCTTGACTTCAAGAACCCCGAGAGCGACCCGAGCAAGTGGCTCACGTACGAGGAGCTTGCCAACCTGTACAGCGAGCTCTCCAAGACCTACCCGATCGTCAGCATCGAGGACCCCTTCGCCGAGGATGACTGGGAGGCCTGGAGCTACTTCTACAAGTCCCAGGACATCCAGATCGTTGCTGATGACCTGACGGTCACCAACCCCCTCCGCATCAAGCAGGCCATTGAGCTCAAGGCGGCCAACGCTCTGCTGCTCAAGGTCAACCAGATTGGCACTCTCACCGAGTCGATCCAGGCCGCCAAGGACTCGTATGCCGACGGCTGGGGCGTCATGGTGTCCCACCGCTCCGGTGAGACCGAGGATGTCACCATCTCGGATGTTGTCGTCGGTATCCGCTCTGGCCAGATCAAGACCGGTGCCCCGTGCCGGTCTGAGCGTCTTGCCAAGCTCAACCAGATCCTCCGCATCGAGGAGGAGCTCGGTGACAATGCCGTCTATGCCGGCGAGAACTTCCGCAAGGCGGTTCAGCTGTAAGGGAGCCTAACGCAAGGCTCGCTCGGGAGGAAATTTGCACCGGAAGTAGGTTCGCTTGGGAGGGTATTTACCTCGGGCAAAAATGATTTCGGAATGGCTCATGAAAATGGAGGTAATGTGGCTTTAGAAACAAAGAATACCAGGCCAATGCTGCCATTATGATTGATGACCTTGCTGTTCCGTGTCCAATTTGTTCTTCGGTGAGTCAATGGTGAAGTCACTCGAGAAAGCCACAGGCATAGCCCGTGCCCAAACAGCTAGACCGAGCATCTCATCGTGAGCATCGAGGATAGACAACGGCTCGAATACTACCGAAACTATATAGAGACTTGATAATTGGGACATATCGATGTCCATCTGGAGCGAGCTGAAAGCGCTGCAAAAGGGTGTGTCAGCTGCAGTATCTCGCCATTTCAGATGGCTACAGCTGTCGACGGTTGCTCCAGCGACGACAAATAATTATTTGGTGCAGAAACAAGAAAGTGGGTATGATTCGTCGCGACCTGCAACCCCTCAAATTACCCGGAACTGGAGCGCGTTCCCCTCCTTCGACAAGTCAACTTTCTAGAATGCGACAGGCCAGGTAGGTCGACGAGCTGATATCGCCAAAAACGGCTGTACTTTTCGCTTTCTTTCCGAACACAACCTGATTCCAACATTTGTTCCTTCGCCCAAACCGCACGACCCCTCATCAAGCCGTCCCAGAGGACGGCCCCTCAAGCAAAATGGCCCCCAAAGACGCCGTCAACTTTGATATTATCGAGGATCACAAGGAAAATATTCAAGCGCTCCCGAGCGGCCGATCAGCCAAGAAGCTTGCCGAATTATTCTCCCAGTCGCCACTTCAACCCCAGTTGACACCGTCACCTTTGGACACCAAGGATGTAAATGACAGCATCCGTGCCGAGTTTGAGGAAGAGCTGGCACAAATTTCTGAATCGGATGATCCTCTCGACATCTACGATCGCTATGTTCGCTGGACGTTCGACGCATATCCCACAGCCCAGGCCACCCCGCAGTCCCAACTGCACACGCTTCTCGAGCGCGCAACCAAGGCATTTGTGAGCTCGGCCCAATACAAAAACGACCCGCGCTATGTCAAAATGTGGCTCCACTACATCACCTTTTTCTCGGATGCGCCGCGCGAGGCGTTCGTCTTCCTCTCTCGGCACTCGATCGGCGAAACACTTGCGCTATTCTACGAAGAATATGCCGCGTGGCTTGAGGGCGCGGGCAGGTGGGCTCAAGCAGAAGAGGTCTACAAGCTGGGGATTGAGCGGGAAGCCCGGCCTGCCGCACGGTTGTTGCGCAAGTTTGGCGAGTTTGAGCAACGAAGGGAACAACAGGAGGTGGATGATGGCCCATCATCCCCGGCGCTTCCAGCGGCCCGGCCGGCACTTGCCTCCAAGGTCGACCCTTTTGCGACTGCCACCGTTGCTCATGACCCGCAAGCGCCAAGACAGCCGGCTGGACTTGGAGGGTCCTCGTCGAAGCCGGCGCGTTCGAAGTTGGCTATTTTCTCTGACGCGGATGCTGAGCCTGCGGCGCCAGCTATGTCATCACGCGGTGCGGGATCCAAGGGATGGGATAGCATCGGGTCTCTGTCTGACCGGAAGAAGGAGAACGTGGTGGAACCTAAACCGTGGGCTGGAGAGACACTAAAGGCCGGAGGCAAGAAGAGTGGCACGAAGATGGCCGTGTTCAGGGATGCGGTAAGCCAAAGTCCCGTCTGCCCGCCACAACCAGATGTTGATCAATATAGGACTAATGTATGGCGGTCTGGCGTATCATGTATCCAGTCTCTCTCTAAACAGCTTTCGCAATCACACATTCCAATCCATCACAACAAAGTCCAGGTCACGGTGAACCCTGCCAACGGAAAGAGGGAACGCGTGTTTGTCGATTTGCGGATGATTTATCCGACCCCTGATGAACCTGGTACTGAACTCAGCTTCGAGGAGGTTTGGGCTGCTAATAAGGGGTGGCTCCGTCATGAATGGGAAGACGAAGAAACGCCTTCGTTTGCGGACGAAAACTCCATGGGAGAGGTGAATTCTCTGGCGGATAGAGTTTCACAGAAACTGACAATCCACCGTGACGTCCTACGGCTCGACGAGAACGGTGCCCCTATTTATCCAAAGGAGGCGAAGCCGCGGAGGAAAAAAGTGGTTGAGGTCAATGAAACGCAAATCAGTATGCCTGTCTTCGTTCTTGTCATCTTCATTTCTAACACTGTGGTAGTCAAAGCAAAGTTGGACTCGCCTTCTGGGCCCAAGATTAAAAAGAAGAGGCGGTCCACTGCTGAACCAACCATGACACTGCACACCAAAGCAGCCACTGACGACATTTACGATATCTTTAACGCACCCCTCAAACCAGCTGGCCGTGAATTGGGCGCCAGCGATGATGAGGGTGGTTATGAATCTGATGACTACACAAGCGATGCCGAGAGCACTGTGAACACGACCAACATCCCGCCGAGTGAAGCAGGCGATGAGGGAGAAGGTGCTGGGGGAGAGGATGACGACGATGCCTCGGATGTGAAGAGCGTGGCCAGCGAATGGTCAGAGTTCTCAATGCACAAGCACATCCCTGACCTCGAACGAGACGCCGAGGAACGGGACGAGACCCAGGTTTCTGATTTAATCGACATGGGACAGGAGAATGTGGCGTCAGCAAGTGACCGGGAATATGACGAGGATGACGATGACTTGGAACCCCCTAGGACGAGGACCATGTTTGTGCCGATACCTCCGGAAGACTACATCCCCTCCCGGCGGCCGTATAGGGATCCCGTCGAGGCAGCTAACAACCGCCTTCCCTTTATGACACCGATCACGGAGAGGACTGAGACTTCGCTGGATATGACAAGCGATCACAGCAGGTATGGCAAAACGCCGTCTAGGAGGCGTGTCGAGCAGCTGTTGGAAGAGGACGAGCTTGAGGACGAGCTGGAGGACGAGGAAGAGAACCTTGATCTGGAACCGCTCAGCAGTCCGCTGCGGGAGGTAATCGAGGAGGACAGGCCAAAGGGAAAAGTCGCTCAACCCCTCCTCCCTAAAGTGAAGCCAACCTCGGCCGGTGTGCCATTTGCCCCGAAAGCGCTTATCCCCAAGGGACCCATCATCAAGGAGACCCAATGCAATCCCGTCGATGAGAGCGTACGGGCAGAAATCCTGGCGAACATCCACCCCCCACTCAGCTCATATGATGGGTTTTACGACCACAGAGATGAGAAGTATGAGAGGGGGGCTGAGATTCGGAAGTTCGCTAAGGCAGCCGGTAAAGGAAACAGGAACAGCACGGACAAGACGGGCAATCTGGGCACCGCCGTGGTTCTTGATTTTCCCGGGACAAAGTCACAGTACACCATCCGGAAGGAGCTTGGAGCTGGCGCCTTCGCTCCAGTATACCTCGTCGAGAACTCGTGTCCAGATGGCGACTCACCCACTGACGAAAACCAACATGACGAGAACGGCCCGGTCGCTGTAATGGGCCGCGGTACATTCGCCAGCACACACAACAAACGCTACGAACGCGAGGCGCTCAAGATGGAGGACCCGCCAACACCCTGGGAATTCTACATGATGCGCCTCGCACACTCGCGTCTCGGCCCGCAACACCGTGCCACGGCCTCCCTCTCGCCCGCCCTCGAAATGCACCTCTACCAAGACGAGGGCTTCCTCTTTCTCCCCTTCCACCCGCACGGCACCCTACTCGACGTAGTCAACCTCTTCCGCAGTGAAGCCTCAGGCGTCATGGACGAGCAGCTAGCCATGTTTTTCTCGATCGAGCTCCTCCGCACCGTTGAGGCTCTCCACGCCAAACAGATCATGCACGGCGATCTCAAGGCCGATAACTGCCTACTCCGGCTCAATCTCGACACCACCGCCACCAACAACCACCCCGACCACCACCACCCCCAACAACTCTCCTCCCAATACCACGCCTCCGGCGCGGGCGGGTGGGCCGGGCGCGGCGTAACACTAATCGACTTCGGGCGGGCAATCGACGCGCGAGTATTCACACCGGACGTGCGCTTCGTAGCCGACTGGAAGACGACGGCGCAGGACTGCGCCGAGATGCGCGAGGGCCGGCCCTGGACCTGGCAGATCGACTACCACGGCCTCGCCGGCACCCTGCACGTGCTGCTGTTCGGCAAGTACATTGAGACGGTGCGCTGCGACGCGGGCGGGCTGGCCACCTCGGGCGTGGGCGGGCGTCGGTACCGCACCCGGGAGAGCCTGAAGCGGTATTGGCAGACGGAGATTTGGGCTGAGTGCTTTGATTTATTGCTGAATCCGGGGGCGTTTGTGGAGGGGGAGGAGGGTGGCGCGATGCCGGTTTTGAAGGGGATGAGGGCGGTGAGGGAGAAGATGGAAAGGTGGTTGGAGGGGAATTGTGAGAGGGGGGTTGGGTTGAAGGGGTTGATGGGGAAGGTGGAGGCTTGGGCGAGAGGGAGGAGATGAGGGGGGTGTTGTTGGGTTGGGCGGGCGGGTTGTTGGTGCTACCCAGTTTTTCCGTTCTTTTGTATTGTTCTCCCGTTTTTTGCTGTGGTTCGAGGTCGATGATATCCTTTGGTAAAGACAGTCATGAACATGAGATGCTAGAGTTGGATTCCTGTTGGGTATCATAATTATTTATTTTCGACATCCGTCGGATACCAGTCTTTGTTATCCAAGCTCCCACCCCTTCTGGTAGAGCATTTTGTTGTACAAATACAGGTCTAGCTCAGTTTTATACGAGCCTAACATACAGTGATGATGATGGAATATTAGCCAGCTTAATCAGTCGCTCTCGCCGCACGAGTCGCACGACTCTTCCTCCTTCTTGGTCTTCTTTCCCCTCGCCTTCCCCTTCGTTCCCTGCTTGGCGCCTTTCCCAGCCTTCTTATCGACCTGCTCCTGGATCTTCTGCCTCTCCGACGCGCCCTGCGCATTCAGCTCTTTCTCCTTCTCCTTGAACTCAGCGCTGTCCACATCCATCCCGATCAAACTCTCAAGCAGCTTGATCTCGTCCGCCCAGATCTGCTTGTTCTCCACCGTCTTGCCATCCGGTCCCTTCTCATCGATCGGCGTCTCGAGAACCATCGGCAGCCCCTGCAACTTCTCGTGGTTCATGACATTGTGGAACGCCCGCAGCCCCAGACAGCCGGTGCCGATGTTGGCGTGCAGATCGCGGTGCGAGCCGAACGGCGCCTTGCTGTCGTTGATGTGGAGCGCGCGCAGGTACTTGAGGCCGACGACGGCGTCGAATTCGGCCATGGTCTTGTCGAAGGCGGCGGGCGTGCGCAGGTCGTACCCGGCGGCGAAGGCGTGGCAGGTGTCGATGCAGACACCGACACGCGCCTTGTCGTCGACCAGCGCGATGATGTCGCGCAGCTCCTCGAACCGCGACCCCACCACGTTGCCGCTGCCGCACATGTTCTCGAGCAGCGTCACCACCGTCTTGGTCGCCTTGTGCGCCCGGTTCAGCTGCCCCGCGATGCGCGCGCACGCCTCGCTCATGGCCGCGCCGCCCGTCGACCCCGGGTGGAAGTTGTACAGCGTGATGCCCAGCGCCTCGCACCGCTGCAGGTCGTCTAGGAAGCCGTCGTAGGCTTGGGTGGCTTTTGTTTTGTCGGCTTGTGCGAGGTTGACGAGGTACGAGCCGTGAGGGACGATGTGTTTGCCGGCGTCGTAGCTGTGCTGCTTGAGTAGGTCGTGGAATTGGGTTTTGGCTTCGTCGGCGAGGGGCGGGCTGACCCATTTCCGCTGGGATTTGAGGAAGAGGGCAAAGGCGTTGGCGCCGATATGGGTGGCGTTTTGGATGGAGTTTTGGACGCCCCCAGCGGCGGAGACATGGGCACCGATGTACATGGCTCGCTTGAGCGAGGTGACTGCTGTCCGGGCTGCTAGGGCCATGGTGTTTTCGGCGTCCTTCTTGGTAGTTTTGCGCTTCTTGGGGGCAGGTTTCTTGTCTTCGACAGGACTGGCGTTTTCGAGGTCCTCGCCATCAAATTCCGGTTCAGTGGGAGTTGTTTTACGCTTGGGAGCCCTCGTTTCGGTCACCTCAACTTTGGTTTCGGTCACAATTGTTACTTTTGTGCTCTTCGTCGTTACCGAAGCCCCCGAGGCACCCGCTGCTTTTTCGATGCGAGTTTTTGGCTCAATCGTGGTGGTTTTTGCCTGGGCTACCTTCCGAGCCGACTGTCGAGCCATTGGAATAACCCACGATTGATCGTGGTTATTGTGTTGTTGTGTATATGAAGATGGTGGTTCTGTCAATCCGGGTTGACTCGCGAGATGTCGGTGACTTGGCGACGAACTACTCGAAAGTCGAGGCGCGGCAAGACGCGCCACGAAATCACGTGTATGGAAGTGGGCCCCCACTTAATATTTGGAGCTGTCATTTTCCCCCGCCCCATCCGAAGACTGGAAAACCCGTAGCGGCACAGCACAATGGAATCTTGAGACGACCTGACAGCCCCTCTCTCTGCTAGTGCTGACTTGAACCATGCCGTCCGTGCCCGATTTTCATCTCGAAGTTCAACGCTCGATTTTCCTGGGCAAGGAAAAATTCCGGAAGAGGGTCCTTGCCAACGAAGGGTCCCCTCGCAATAAGTATAGCTGTTTCATTCTTTCCTCGCTACCTACGTACCTAGTTAATCAAGCACCTTAATTGGCTCCTTTCGTCTTGACATTGTGTCGAATTTATATATAAGCAACAAGGTTGTCAAGCATTGGCAAACGGCCGGCGTTGGGTGTGGTGTGCGTCTGTATTGACGACATACGGCAGCACACATATATTGATGTTGTGAGTAACCACCGACGAAACCTTGGACGAGGGGAACTAAAAAAAGCCATTCGGAAGACCAAAGTCTGCTTTCTCGGTTTCTTTTATTTGAATTTTGCTCGGTTTCCTTTACTTCCTTTTCTTTTCTCGTTTTCTTTTGTACATACCTCTTTCTCTTTTCTTGACTTCTTTCTCCCATTTTGAGTTCGACTTTTTTTGGTCAGAGAGCGAGGTAACCTCGACATTCAGGATCTTCCTCATCCGTCATCCTGGCAATCAACACAACCTCCGGCGGGATACGTTTCTCTCGATAATTTGGCTGGGGTCAATATCGGTCCGGCTCGCGCTGACGCATTGTTTGAGGGTTGATGACACTCCGCAGGCAGCCGAATTTGATCGAAAGTCCATTGTCACCCTGGGAGCTGAACGGTCGGGTTGCCTTTCCGAGAGCTGGGAGCGGAACAACTCCGCAATTCGCAACTTCTTGTTTTATCGCGTTGCATTCGGCTCCATTTCTCGGACTAGGGTTAGAATGCTATTGAATGCCCCGCAACGGCCCGCTTGGAACGACAGGATCTCCATTTCTTGTCCACCGAGAACATGCACCAGAAAGCGCAACAAAAAAGCGCCCAGATTGTGGATCCAGACCTGACACCGCCGAATCCGTGTTGCCCAGATGCCGTGCTTGCGGCTCAGAATCGATTGTGTGTTTTTGTTAATCCCTGCTCTCGTAAGTATTCTGCCCAATCGACATCAGCAGAGCCACCCAATGAGACAGGTTGGCCACATCCCCGGTGGGCACTGCTGCTATTTTTGTGCCCGGGGCTCAATCATCAACGAAGCGCCAATCCGGGCACCATCAAGTTGGGGGCCACAGCGGCAGCCAGGTGAAGAAACAAAGAGGGTTGCTCTTGCAGGGAGTTCGGGTTCGCCTTCGCCCTTTCGATGATGGTGGCTGAGGCTCGGCTAGGAGGTCAGTCAGTCCCTTGAGAAACTGGAATTTCCAGCTTCGGAGTGAGCGAACCTCGGCCGATCGGTGTGCATTCCAGAAGTCATTCCCGCCGGGAGGGTCCAGACGGGGATCATCAGCCAGCGATATACCCGTATTAAGGGCGGAGAACATGCCCTGTTCAGATCGACTTCTGATTTTGCCGCGCATCCAGGGCGATCACTTGCCCGATCCTTGCGACTGCACCGTGCATTTGCGACAGTTCGTCGCCGCAGCAAGCTTCTCAGGCAAGCCAGGTTGTTGTTTGGAGTTCCATCTCAGCGGGAGCGAGGGGAGCGAGAGGGAACCCGTGGGCTCGCGCTTTAGGTGGTAGCTGACAAAGGCTTGGCGCACCTCATGCAGCCCAGTGGAGCACCAAGTCCCAAGCATTGCAGCCTGCCCGCTGCTACCAACGGCCCTGTGCCCCTGAGGCCCTAAAAGTTACCTCTACGCACTTTCAGGAGGCATTCCAGATTCACCCCAGATCAGACCAGATTGTCCAATATTGACCTACGAAGTACCTAACCTCCATACGGTTGTGCCTGGCCATCCGAACTTGACCATCCAATCATTATTGTGGCGCTGCGTGCCAGCTGCCTTGCCGTCCTGCCGTCGTGCCGCGCTACAGTAGCATTCAACCCTTCATCAGCGCCAACCGCAGCGCCAACACCCGAACCAGCGCCAAAACGCCATCCTTCGAGGGGGTCTAACTCTTATTCCATCCCATCCATCCTATCCATCCCTTGTGTTCCCGCCTGCGCCCACCTATCCCGCAATACCAAAATTTATCCGATGGCGAGCCACGTTGCTAGCCCATGATACTTTCTCTGGCTCGACAACCGGCTGCCTTGATCGCATTCAGCCCCGGGCTTGTCGTCCAGAATGACGGACCACGATGTCGTTACCGGCGTTGTTGCCGACACCAGCGAGGGCAGGCGGCCGTCAATCGAGAAAGCGCCCATCATCATAACCGAAGTCGACGATGGTCTTGACGACAGCGAACCGCCAGCCTTCGAGCGCCTCCCCGACGAAATCATTCAACAGTATGCGCCAATCTCCATATCTCTCGTCCTTGTCCCTCCTCCTCCAGAGTTGATGTCCTTGCCCCCCTCGCTCGCATACTCACCCAATATGACAGAATACTCCAGGTCACAGATGCCAATGGATTTGCGTCGCTGGCCCTGCTCAACTCGAAATGGAGAAGCGTCGCGCAGCAAGCCCACCTTTACGCGCATCACCTTGCGAGCTGCCCCTCGTATGCCATGAGCCATGGCGCGCCCCCGCAAGTCACTAGCGACGATGATTTACCCAGGCTCCGCCGCCTGTTTGCTCGAGAAGTCAAACGCAACTTGTTCGAGGCGTACCTCCGTCCCAACCAGACCGTGATCAAAGTTATATCGAACTCGATCAGCTCCTCGTCTTGTCCGGGCGGCGAAGGCATCCAGTTCAGCCCCTCGCCAAAGGGCCACCACCTCCTCGCCTACAACTCGTCAAGGATACATGTCATCGACCTCCGCACCCCCGAGATTGCCGTTAAGAGAGAGTTCAAAATACTACGACGCCCTGCTGCGACCTGCATCAACGACGAAGGCACCACACTTGCCGTCTTGCTGACTGAGATGGAGGTGGATATCTACGACCTCAACCAGACGCCGCCGAAACGGACACACTCGATGATTCTAGACCACAGCCCCCGCGCTATCGCCCTCTCCCCCTGCGGCTCCGTTCTGGCCGCGGCCTACGAAGGCGGCATCGAGGTCTCCTCCATAAATCCCGGGGCACTGGCCACCGACAGACGCGCCGTCAAGTGCGACGGGGTGGATGCTCTGACGTTCTCCTTTGACGGGACGCAAATCCTCGGGACGACAGTGCAAGCATCCCAACCCAACACGGTGATCCTCACTGCGCCTTACTATGATCCCGGCAGCCACATGGCCGATGATAACATCAGTGCGCTTTGGACCACGTCGATTTTATTTCCAAACACGAGCCGTGACTGCAGCCATGCGGTTCTGATACAGAATGGCAAGTACGAGGAAGCTGCCTGGACCTTCACCTACGACAGGAGTTTCGAGACTTTCCGAGCGGTGCGCATCGACGACTTGCGAAACGGGACAACCTACTTCACGGGACCGGTGCCCAGCCCGAACTCGCAGGCTCGGCTGATCCCCTGTACGCTACCCGCCGCATCCTACTCTGGTGATCTCGTCTCGGCCGGATTTCAGGGCAAGGAAATCTGGCTCTACGGAGTACCTGAGGACCTCGATGCCGTGCCCGAACCCCCAAACGTTAGTGTGGAAAATGGTTCCAACGTAAACGGGCTCTCCCGCCACAGCAGTGGGCCATCAGTTCGCTCGAGCATCAGGATACAAGAAAACAGCGATTCTGTGAGGGTACCACAGTGGCAGATTCTGTGCGACAAGCTACGAAATACCTTTGTTGCGGGCTCTAAAATCGGCGAGCTGGAGGGCATCAATACGGTCAAGTTTGTGGCGGACTTTGCGGATTCGAGCGTGAAGGAACGGTTACTGGTGGCCGCCCGCGGCGTTGCGCCGAATATCTCGGTTACCGATGAGGAGGGGATTGACTTTGTGGACGGTGGCCGCATCACCATCATGGACTTTGACTACAGCGTCACGAACGGGACCACCACGGAATGCACCATCGAGGTGGGTACTGAGGAGGGGCCGGAGGTGCTTGAGGAAGAGCATCGCGATATGGCGACCGAGGTTGCCATCGTTCGTCGACGGACGGTCGCCCAGAATAGGGGAAGCCGCCACGCCGTCGCCATGCGCAGCGCGACTACTGCAGCTCGTCCCCCGCCTTTACCTTCCCAGTCACCAACTCAACCGGACGGCGACGAAGACGATCCTCTCGTGCCTCGTCGTATTGGAAGCGGCCCTCATCAGAATGTTGAGCCAACTGCAGCGGGCGAGGAAACGGAGTCACAAACGATCGAAGAGCAGGAGGCTTTAGATGCGCCATATGCACATGCAAGCCCGCGCTCCGGAACAACACTCCGCCGCGCAGCGACCGCAGCGGCCAACAATCGCCGGCTTCATCCCTCGGCAACCACCAGCGGTCATATCGTATATCGCAGGGCTGACGGCCGTGCCGAACATCCTCACGAGAGCGACGCCGATAACTGGGTCCCACCGCCACCCCCATATCAGAAAGATGATCCAGGTGATTTGCCTTCATTTCTCCGCCACACATCGATTCTGCCACCTACCGGTTCGGGCACGGCGCCCGCCGGGGAAGGGGCCGAACAAAGCGCGGACCGGAAAGCCATGCGGAATTCGTCGGCCTCTATGCACCAACAGCATCGTCGTGCCCAGACGGTAGCCTCGGCAAATCGATTTTCGTCCCCCGTCCCGCCTGTCCCACCACTTCCCTCCCTCTCGAATATGCCCCCTGTTCCTCCCGTACCGGCTCTTCCGCCGGGGGTGACGGCGTCCCCGTTGGCCCCTTTACCACAAGCTCACGCTCATGAACGCGGCAGGGGCCTAGCAGCCCCATCCTCCAACGAGGATCCAGCGCGTCCCGCCTCCAGGGCCTCCCGTTATCTCGAGGGTGAGAACATCTATGACGTCTCACCGCCCGACTCGCCTGCTCTGGCGCCAGTGGGACGGCATGTGTCGCGTGAAGCGAGTGACACCAGGGCAGCGAGCAATCCTGAACAACCATCTCAAACGAGCATGGTGCCACCTTCCTCGCCGCCGACCACGATTGGAGGGGAATCTGTAACCACTGGGAGGACCCAGACCGCTTCTGTATCGCCAGAGGGTGGCGACCCGGCGACCCTTGTTGTGCAGCCCGCGATACAGGTCCCTAGCGATCCTATCCCACCCATGAACGATGTCCCTACTGCCGACGACCCCTTGGTACGACGTATTTCTGTTTCAAGGACGTGGCCGATACAGCCGGTGCCAATTAATACCAACAATTCCACGGTTGGTTACCCATACTCGGCGCCCCCGGTCAACAACAACGAGATGCTCTCCCAGTCTTTCCCTCTACCAGGAAACGAGCAGGATCCTGCCTTCAACAACCTCGCGCCCACATCACGGCCTCTTTCTGGCAGCTTCCCGCTCCCAGGGACAGCAACTGATGGTCACGCAGGCGGCGAGCAGAACTGGCGGCGCACCTCGTACCAACGCCCCGTCTCCCAACAACAGCATTACTCCTTCCCCCGCCCGCGGGGGCAATCTCCCGCGGCCCAATTTCACACACGCGACCACGATCCACGAACCCCGAACCACGCCGTCCTCACGACATAATGGACACACCTGTCGAGGACAATGCCTTTGATCATCAGCACTCCCAAGGGTGTCTCGGGGGCCTTTGATCCGCCCGAGCGGCACCCCTCGGACCGGCGCGCCGAGACGCCTATCCTCTCCCCCATCCCGCGGCACCCCCGGCCGCAAACACAAGCCTCCATCCTCCGCCCGCCACCGCAGGAGCACCCCCAACCACAGCAGCCCCAACACCACCACCTCCAACCACAGCAGCAACATCCATACCAACACCACCAACAACTCCAACCCCCAGACCACCGCCTCGCGCCCATCTACAACAGTCCTCCCAATCTCGCACCGGGGGCTCTCCTTACCGTCCCGCCGCCGCCGGGCTCAGCGTCGACGAGCTTCTCGCGGCGGGTGCCGAGCCTGAGCCGGAAGCAGAGCCGGGCGGAGCGGTCGGCGGCCAAGAACGTGGCGGACGCCAAGAAGCGGGGGTGGAGCGGGCGGTCGACGCGCGGGAAGAGCCGCAAGGGCCGCAAAAAGAAGGGCGAGCCCGACTTTGACGTCCAGAGCACCGCCGCGTGGACCGATGTCACGGTCACGGCGTATAGTGTTCGCTCTGCGTTTGGGGTTGGGAATCGGAGGGGTGGTGGTGGGGGTGTGGTGGATGGGATGGATGTGGCGGGGGTAAAGGATAAGAAGGGGAGGTGTGTTGTTATGTAAATAGCTAGTCTTTTTGTTTGAGGGGGTTGGTTGGTGTTGGGCTGGGTTGTAATGGTTTGGTTACACAGTACAACACTCGTTGGATATTTTCCTATCTTGGTTATGCGGGACATACAGCGGGATCTTCTGGGATGGGCGGTTTATCTGATGACGTTTGGAACAAGCGATGAGAGCGAGCGTGTATATGATATGTATGTGATGGAGGTTGTTGTCGGATTTTTCCGGGTTTGTTGCTGGACTTCTCTGTGTTAACAACACGCGCAGCATCATGATACCATCGAATACACGTCTTGAAGACAGCTCGCCATCCATACCAACCATCGTGCCCAGGAGTACGCTATAAACGCTTCCCAGAAAACAGCCCGTACCGCATACTGATTGCTATCATCCCACCCAAGCTATCATACAGCAAACAACACCTCACCCAACCCCATCTA